TCCAACTTCTGATCACACTGCCTTGTATTGCTAAAAGAACTTGACACTGCTTTTTTGAAGAGGGATATAGTAGGTACCATTCGATAAACGAGCACTGGAAGACGTAGAATCAGTACTAACTGAATTTGTTTGTTAGGTTTTGATAATTTTTTTGCCTGTTTGACGTGGGTGCTGCTGCCATTCCTTTTCTGCTGTCTCTGCTGTCTGCTTCTTGGTCTTTGTCTGGTCTCTGCTGGTGTTGCTTGTTGTTTGGTCTTTGTCTGGTCTCTAGTGTCGTTTGTTCTCTGGTTTTTCCATGGTGTTGGTGTTGCTGCTGCTGTTGCTAATATGGTCTTCTCTGGTGTACTGTGTCTGGTGCATGCTTTTTCTCTGGTCTATATCCGGTGATTGCGTGTCCTCTGGTCTATCTACGGTGGTGGTAAGTGGTAAGTGGTAAGTATCTTCTTTCTTCTGGTTGCAATGATATAAGACTTTTTTGAACGTTTGTATTATTGCTTCCTTTCTCGTGATAATGCATTTTATCATGATATTTACTTTGTTGCGCTTTCTTCTTCTTTCGCTGGTTACGTTGCCTCTGTGGCTTCACATGAGACAACGTTAGTCATTATGTTGCAGTGCAAACTTATACCACCATTGCTTTTGCAGTTTTGTGTGTTTGCGTTACTTTACATTCGACTATTACCATGCACTTTGCTCATGTATGCAATTTTGTTGCAACAACGAGCTCTTTTGAGCATCTCTGATGTTGTACTTGTTATACTTTTCTTTGACTCACTTTGTGTGGTGAGTATCCCTTTTTTGCCTACGTACTACTATACTCCTATAGTAGTATGTTCTTTTATTCTTTCCTTTATTATTTTTATGTTTCTTTGAAGCATACCTTTTTTACGTTGTGTGGATGTGCCTATCCCTGAAGCTCAACAAGACTCTATCCGAGGCTAGGAGGTAGATAGGCCGCCTCCACTTGGTTATCGCTACTTACTTTAGTGATGATTGAGGGTCTCAATGCCAGTATTTAAAGCTAGGTGGTGTAAGTAAGGCATGCTCTAGCACTTGGGGGAAGTTTGATGATAGCAGCGGCTATATTGCTATTATAGCGGCGCTTAAAATTTTGCCTCACATCAAAGCAGGGGGAAACTCTCGCAATTTTTTTTAGGTCAGCGGAGTTTTCAAGCAATTTGATTGGCTCAGAGGTTCAGGGACCGAAGGATTCTAGCTAGTTGATCTCCTATTGATTTATCATTTATCATGATATTATGTTTGTAATAAAAGGGTAGCCAAATGAATACAATATAAGTCCTTCGTTAATTAAAAGTATAAAATTAGGTGTAATCATTTGATCTAGCATGCATTAAACAGTGGCATGTGAGGGATGTCTTTTAAATTTATCATGTGAAGATGTTATACAAGTATTATTATTTCAGTCCAGTGCTGGTTAGAACGTTGTTACAACAACAGTATAAAAAAAGCTATAGTAGCATCAGTTCTCATGGATTTACAACTCGTATTAATAGCTCAGCCCCTGCCAAACTGTTGAAAACCCATCGCTCAAGGCCAACTTTTGCTACAGTGGCTCACATAAAATTTTATTTGTACATGGTTTTTAGTAATACCACCCCCTGAATTTATTTGATAGTCTCCAGCATCACATGAACGTTACCAAGGTGTTACTGCCATTGTAAATTCCAATTTGAAGGTTGAAAACCCAGGTTTTAGAGGAAGCATCGTAGGTGTCGGAACGAAATCTCATTTTTTGGGGAATAAAACTCAATTAGTGAAGTGATCGGGTTGAATTGGCAGTTGAACGATGCGTTTAGGATATAGATTATCTCTGATAGGCAAATGTATTCCATGTTGCATAATACAGGAGGAGATCTGAGCATGAGCAGAGATGTGTGATAGATCGCGATCTCTTTATTCAGAAGACAGTATAAAGGAATATGAGAGTGGTGCCATCAAACGGTTAGAAGTCTATATCCTGGTTCCTAAAATGTGGTAATATATGTCCCTTCGTCCCTGAAAGTGGGTTTCAATTCTGACAAATGCTCTTCCGTCAAATTTACCAGGAAGATCATTCTATCCTGGATCATCTCTGTTGGCTGTTCCTGACTAGTGATCTATGAGCGTTTACATAACACATCTTCTCTAACTTGTTCGAAGCTTACACAATTATCCCGCATTCAAGATCAAGGTCCTATTGCTGCGACACTGCCAAATACCTATAAATACCTCTGAAATTTACACTAGTTTTAATCCTCCTTCAAACTTGGAATAACTTAATAGATATATTCAGTTTTAATTGCATTTCCTCTGTCTATATTTCATTATTCTAAACACAAGCAATAGCTTTTCTTTTAATTCTGTTTTCCTGACATTGTCCTCGCTTATTATGTTACAACCAAAGTAGCGTTAAAAAAAACCCCTTTATATGTTTAGCAAGCCCTCAAAATGGGTATATAATGGTCCAGATATAAAGGCTCTAGCATCAACAAGGAACTTGGAATAACTGTTTCCTCTTTTTCTGTAAAATACGTAGTGTTGAGTATGTAGAGCTGCGGGAGTTCAGACACTCAACGGTAGTCGGATCCTTCATAATGATCAATATTGGATTTACAGAACTTGATGTATTGACTCATTGAACAATTAGATTGATTGATTTAGCTATAATGACTTTATTTAAGTAAGATGCGCTCAAATCAATTGATAAATCTTTAGGTTTCGTATCTGATTACTTTTAAAGTCTTCCTTTGATATCTTTCTTAATTATTTTTCATTACTTGTAACTTACAGATTCCAACAATAGGCTTTATATCAAGGCCGTTGCTCAAAAATCGCTAATTTCGGAAATTATCCATCTCTCAACGTCAACTTTTCCATCAGAAACTCAATTACACTCTCGTTTTCTTGCAAAATTTGGCTCTAAGAGCTTGCTATTTTTTAAGCTGTAGCGCCGATATTTCAAAACGTATTCTTGGATGGTTTCAAGCTCACTTTTTAACTGCACCTTATTGAGCAAAAGCGGCTATAAAAGACCTACTAACACTGTGGATTGACTATCTTGCGATATTTCGAGTTTGTTTCTGTGAATTCAATCCATATAGGGATAGATACCATACATGCATTACCTCTTACGACTTAAATATATGCAGATCACAGCGAATATTAGATGCATTCCAGCAAAGATTTCTTGTGCTAGAATCCGTTTTAGGTCGTCAGAATAGTCCCAAACCATTACTCTTAACTAGCACTTACTTCTTGATACCTTTGCTCAACTTTTTGAGGTCCAAAAAAACATGACCAAAAATCGACCAAAAAGCATGAGGCACCCCTCATGGTTTTCGTCGAAAATCAAACGATCGCGATTTTTGGCTTGAAAATGAAGACTTTTACTAAGGTATATATTAAATCAAAATGTTTCTCTCGATCCAAAGCAACTTCTGAAATCACTTTTATGAGGCCTTGATATGCAAAATTTTGACATTTTGGCCAAAAACCTCATTTCATATTTTCTGGAATTGCTCAATAAGTTCAATCTAAACATCTATTTTACTTAGCACCATTGGAAGCACGTTGAAAAATACTCCAAAAATGTGTTAGGAAGCATCGGATGATCATCACGTTTTATATAGTCGAATAGCACAAAATGTTCTGGCAAGTCGAGAAGAGTTGAAATTTGTCCAATCTTAAACAGTAAAAGCATACTGAGTTTGAATTAGATTCTGCTGGCGGCACTCCTGTTGGCTGAACCAAATGCCTTTCTGATGATGGCAATGCTAATCAAATGGAGATCATAGAGCTGAAAGGACAATTGCTTAGTTTAGATAATTTTTTCTTTGTTTTTGATGAGAGGCTTTCCCTGCAAGTGTCTTTTACAATGACAACGTCTCAAAAAAGTCGCTCTATATCTTATAGAAGCCCTGTCTACGTATGGCCAGCTTCATGTCGCCACCTTAAGAGCAATACCATCGAATGGTATGGCAATTCTACTACCAGAAAAAAGACATGAATGAAGGATATGGTATACATATGCTGCATAAAACGTGAACTCCCTTTCACATTGTCTCAATAATAGCTTTCATTTGATATCAGTGGAGTATAAGCAAAAGCGGATGCAGGGACGACATCTCCCCCCCCCCCCGCCTCCCAGCCTTCCAACTCTGATATAGCCTTTCTTTTACTATGAATTGGTTGTTTAAAATCTACTTGATATACCAAGTTTGTATTATCTTTGATTTGGGATGTTGTCGGCAAGAGCCCGCAGGGCGAACCCATCATCGAGCGTAGCGATACCGATAATCTAGTTAGATTGAGTACATGCTTTCCTCTACAAACCCTCAAAATATTTGAAAAGCAAGCTTGTATGAATAGAAGCTATAGGATGACTTTCAAAAGTTGTGCCGTTTGATACGCATATTAATTCTGTATAAGTTTGCTATGAAGTAAAAGCACTGGCTACTATTGAAAATGCTATCTTAAAAGGATCAAAAAGTACAAGTAGCAGCACATTGGTGTCAAGCCAACAATAGCTCGTTGATCACAACGGTTGCAGAACTAGTTTAATGACAGTTCTAGGACGTTAGCATAGTCTAATATGTAGTAGATATTGATCTCGTATTGTGCCATAACCTGCTTGATAAGTTACTACTTTCAAGTTATCGATAGATAATTGGCATGTTGGTGAGTGATGCTTGCAAAAGTAGATGACTACAACTTGCTTCTTTCTACTCCATCAAGCCTTCCAACTTTAGGTATAAATATTCCTCCTGCTCAAGAATGCCATGTAGATCACCTCACGGGCTGGGTGTTTCAGGAACCAAGTTTCCAGCCATGTATACTTTGTTCAGATTACCATATACTTTGTCTTTGTGAAGTGCTACTCCCTACCACACATTAGGCCCTGCAAGTACAAAATTGTGTTCACTCTGAATATTCAGCGTCAATTTGGGATAAAAAAAGAATAGTTTATTGAACTTGTCTCTCTACTAGTAGTTCTACACACTTCATGTACTGATGGTATGATCGTAGTCGATTGTAGGAATAACAGAACTCATGAATTTCAAGAAAATAATTAAATATCTATGAGCTTGGTCAGTGGATGCCTTTTGCATTAACCGAGTTGAGCAAGAATACTTACTGATCCACACGGATGCCAGACTCCCCCTCGTTGGCGCCCTCGTTACCTCCTAGGCCAGCAGATTTACCATCGCCCATTCTCTCAATAATCTTCTTCATGACTTCAGCATGTTTGCAAGGATGAATTGATGCCAAACTAAGAGCCAAGTGAGGGTGTGTTTCAATGGTTACCGTCTTCTTGACATAGTCAGGAGAGACATCCTCAAACACCTGATTGGATGTTAAGGGACGGCGCTCCTCATCATATCCAAATAGCCAAATACGTGGAGTTCGATAGTATTTATCGTAGGTGATGAAGACATCATAAGTTCTCACTTGCAGTACCTTGTCGCTAAATCCAAAACATGTAAGTCTATAAGCGAGCAAAAGAGAATATATCGCACTTACTTGCTATCCTTGATATTGGGTTGTGCGACAGACTACGTAAAGCAGTGTGTAAGCAAATTACTCTCATTCATTCAATAATGCTACTCACAGGATCATCCTCTTCTTCCACTTGATCATCCATATCTGGAATATCATCCATGTCTGGTATATCATCAAGATCAGGGATATCCTCAACGTTCAGTTTCTCCAAGCCCTTTTTAATCTCTGCTTCTTCCTCCTCCTCGGTCATGATAGTTTGAGCAATCTCATCCATAGTCTTTGTTACTCTTGTGCTATGCGTGAACATCCAATCATCGCCATCATTATCAAATTCATCCTTGACTTGAGTCTCTGAATCATCTTCGACATACTCCATTTGACGAGCTCGCCTTATACATGGAACTAGAAATAAGACACTAGTTACTACAGTTATGTTTTATACACACATGCATTCATGATCTGTACCATTGCGAGTAACGAGAAATTGCTTATCGCTGGGTAAATAGTCTCTCTTCTTATCCTCTAATCCTGACTCCCATTGCCATGTCGGACACTTGTAAACCAAGAACTCTCCAGCAGCGACAAACTATGTAGATAAGAGGCATTTAGAAAATCCAAGCGAGTAAGAAACAAAATAGAAAAAAAAAGTACTTCTTCGGGTGTTAGACAACCTGTTTCCTTGAACTTTGAGTTCTTCAACACAGGAGCAAGATAGTCTCTGAATTTCTGAAAGTTGGAAAAAACTTTGTTATAGGCATCTTGTACGGACATGGTGGTGTATAATGTATTGCGTGAATAAAATAAAATAAAAAAGAAGAAAAGGTTCAACAAGCTGGAGTTATGCTGATAAAATAGAGCTGCGTGAATGCTGACCATCGCTAGGCTCACGCGCGTCAGGTGAGCCCATGCCTATTTTACAGTCAGTGCAAGGCAAGATGGAAAAGAAAGCGATTTCTGATCAACTCGTTTGAGATACCCCCCCCCAACAAAACAGCGATTCATGCAACAGAAGTTTGGATGTGCTTGAGCGATGGAAGATAATGCCTCATTCACGCTTAAACGCATGATCAAACAGTGACATGTGGAGGTAAAAAATATAAGCATGATTTTTAATATTCTTGCCGAAGATCCAGGAGCGTATGATTAAAGACCGCGCAGAATTTCATGGGTTACATACTATCGTCCTTTGGAGCTTCAACATGTTTGTACGGCACTTTAATAGGGGGTTCATCATAACATAAGAATGAAGTAAGTGTGTTTGTTTGGATGTAACGTTAAACAAGATGCAACAAAATCAGTGGGGATCAATTAGGATCAATTCCTCCCTTATTACACCAATGGTGGTCCCAAATGCCGGCCATTGTGCACATAATAAAATCATGTTTTATGCCACATTGGCCATATCATCAAGTTATATCGAGAAAATCTTGGTTAATCTGGGAGTTTCTCGGTTACAACAAACATTTGAACTTCCGGAAAACCTTATGGAAAATGGAAAAAAAGAGCTCAAGATATAAAAAGCTAGCCAACCTATATACCCATCCCGTTATCTCTTTTCTTCTTATTTTTCAATTTTTTTATAAAAAAAAAAAAAATAGAAACACTCACTATGGTCAACATCCAAACTGTCTCTACTGAACCTTTTGAAGGTCAAAAGCCTGGTACCTCAGGTCTCAGAAAGCGTGTCAAGGTATTCCAACAAAAGAACTACACCGAGAACTTTATTCAAGCCATGCTGGAAGCTATTCCTCAAGCTGATGGTGGCGCCAAGGGTGCTACTCTTGTCGTTGGTGGTGATGGCCGTTATTACTCTGATGAGGTCCTTCAAGTGATTGTTAAATGTAGTTTGGGTCAAGGCGTAAGTTATTCGGAGTGATATCATGCAAAATGTCGCATTCAATTCACGCGTTATCTATAGGTCTCTAAATTGATTGTCGGCCGCAATGGTATTGTCTCCACTCCTGCTGCTTCTAACATCATTCGTAAGCGCAAGGCTACTGGTGGTATTCTCTTGACCGCCTCTCACAACCCTGGTGGACCTGATAGTGATTTTGGTATCAAGTACAACTGCTCCAATGGCGGCCCTGCTCCCGAATCTGTTACCAACAAGATTTACGAAATCTCAAAGACCATCAAGGAACTCAAGCTCGGTGAAGCACCCAAGGTTGATTTCTCCAAATTGGGTACTCAACAGGTTGGTAATTTGACTATTGAAATCATCGATGGTGTGGATGATTACGTCGCATTGATGAAGGAGATCTTTGATTTCGAGGCCATCAAGTCCTTCTTTGATAACAACAAGGATTTCAAGATGCTGTTTGACGGTATGAATGGTGTCACTGGTCCTTATGGCCATCGTCTGTTCGTTGAGGAATTTGGTCTTCCCGAATCCAGCGTGATGCGTTGTGTCCCCAAGCCTGATTTCGGCGGTGCTCATCCCGATCCCAACTTGACTTATGCCCATGATTTGGTCGAAGCCGTTGAGAAGCAGGGTCTTGATTTCGGTGCTGCCTCTGATGGTGATGGTGATCGTAACATGATTATTGGCAAAAAGGCTTTCGTCACTCCCTCTGACAGTGTTGCTATTATCGCCCATTATGCCAAGGAAGCCATTCCTTACTTCAAGAAGCACGGTGTCAATGGTTTGGCACGTTCCATGCCCACTTCTCAAGCTATTGATTTGGTTGCCAAGAAGATGGGTGTTGAACACTTTGAAGTTCCCACTGGTTGGAAGTTCTTTGGTAACCTGATGGACGCTGGTCGTTGCTCCATCTGTGGTGAGGAATCATTCGGTACTGGTTCTGATCATATTCGTGAGAAGGATGGTCTTTGGGCTGTCTTGGGTAAGCTTGACTGAAGATAAAAAAAATCATGTTGTTTATGTAATACTGACATTCAAACTGCCATTGTAACATAGCTTGGTTGAGCATCATTGCTTATGTAAACAAGGACAAGAAATCGGGTGTCCAAGATATCCTTCAAGCTCATTACAAGGTGTACGGTCGCAACTTCTTTTCCAGATACGATTATGAAGAGGTGGATGGCCAACGTGCTGAGGATATGGTAAACCGTCTTCGTGATCAAATCTCCAAGAAGGAATTGGAGAACAAGACTGTCGGTGGATTCACTATTGACAAGGCTGATGATTTCGAGTACTTGGATCCTATTGACGGCAGCGTCTCCAAGAACCAAGGTATCCGTATCATCTTCAAGGACGGCTCTCGTATCATTATTCGTTTATCTGGTACTGGTTCTCAAGGCGCCACTGTTCGTCTCTACGTTGAAAAGTATTCCAACAATGCTGCTGAATATGCCGACGATGCTCAAGTTGGTTTGAAGCCCTTGATTGATGTTGCCTTGGAATTATCTGAACTCGAGAAGTTCACTGGCCGCAAGGAACCCACTGTCATTACCTAAATCAAGCCATCGCCATACGTTTCATATACGATATTCCCTGCATTATATATATTCGCTATTTGCACACACACACACACACACAACAACAACACTCTTTACATATAACAACAAAAAAATCTATTCATCACATCTAGTAATAAATAAAGCATTAAACCGTTTGGTTTGTACAGCAATGTAATAATTATGGCAGCTTTTGGTCTTTTTTTTTTTTGAAACTATCGAGTATAGTAGTAGCCATTGCATCCTTTAAACACTGGATCATTCACTTTGACAATGCGCTTCAAATGATATAGATGCAAGTGCTCTTGATGCACCTGTTTTGAGTTTGGATAGATCCTTCGAAAGAGCAAGCAGAAGCAGCTGTTTCAGAAAGAGCAACCGCAAGGATCTGATGTCAACTCGAGTCTTGCCTAAACATTAAGGTTTTGTTCATTAATTTCTTGTGCAACTGGGGGCAGCGATTGCTCTTCCAAAGCTCAATGTCGCAGCCCCATTCAATATACCTTGTTTGTATGTTTAACGAGTATCAAGACGACATCAACAGATTGGATCAGATATGTCACTGCGCGCAGTATTCAAAAGTAGTATCTAATTCCAGTCATTGGATCAGAACAATGTCCTCGTGAGGATGGGAAGAATCAGACGGAGTTGGTACATATGCCATTGTTGTAAACGAGTAATCGCCCATAATGCTCAGCCGTTAGTGTTAAAGAGCAAGTGCTGCTTTCAGATTCGTTCAAGGCATTTGAGGCTCCAGAACCATGCACTGGTGGTGTTTCAAGCGTGCTCTGTCTATTATGCAACCCTGGAAAATGTGCGTTACTGCCCTACAGGAACAGGGAAAAAGCACAGCATGATTCGAGATTTCATCCAGCAACGATCGAGACCCTTTTTCCATTAGCAATTCCCAGTCCATTCTTGTCAATTTCTCATGGTTAAACTGAAAGGCTATATCAACAAAAAAAAAAAAAAAAAAAAAAAAGGTAACTTTTTGTACCACCAATTGTATTCTGTTTCGATAAAGAAGCATCAGGCATTCTGATATTGCTTGCGCCTTTCCATGGCTTTTCGCTAGGACAGATCAAACATGCAAGCTTTAAGGGAACAAATTAGAAGCGTTGAACATTTACCATACAGGATTGATTATATAAACATTTTAGTGCAAAGAATTGGCTTTCAATCATAAGCCAGTGAGATGTATAGATCAAGGCACTCAAGTGATACAGAAATCAGAAGCAGGATGGTTCAACAAAGAAGCTTGATTTGATACGTCAAGAGCAGTAATAAGGTGGTCACATCAACATGTTCTTGTACAACACATTCTTGTGATAATCTTCACACACACACACACACACACACACACACACACACACACCCACACATACACACATTGCTTGGGTTCCTTTTCCCTTTTCTCTCTCTCTCATTAATTCGTTTGAATGTCATTATGGTTTTTTCAGATATTGCTCATAAGGCCTTGAACGGATTCTCTTCATCTACATCCAACGCACCGACAATAACCGCAGAAAATGACATGACCATTTTAGCACCAGATGGATTGACATTGGAGATGGTGCTGCTGAATCAGACACCTCCACCCTTCAGTCTGAAGGATTTCTCCGAGTATTTGAAGCTGACATACTGCAACGAGAATCTGCTCTTTTATGAAGCGGTGATAGAGTACAAGGATCGATGCTCAGCCTACTTTGATGTACAACTGGATGAAAATGCATTGCACTCCTGCAAGCCAGTGCCTGTTATCTTATCAGATAATCGAGTGTTTGACTTTTCCACTTTCACCAAGCATATATTGACGTCTCGAGAACAGCTCTGGTTTGACACCTTGATCTACAAATTTGAAGTCATATTGAAGGATTTCATCCTGTCTGATGCACCGCAAGAAATCAATATACCATATGAAGTTCGCCATCAGCTATTGCAGTCATACCAAACACAACAATTGTATCACCCTGCCTTGTTATTTCCCGCCTGTAGCGCTGTTATTGAACTACTGAGGATCAGTGCATTTATACCATTTGCAACTGATCCAAATAGACTTTATTGCCCCATGAAAAAGAAGAGTTTCATCAAAAGACAAAAGAGCAGCCCAGTCATATCCACAAACATCGATTCCTATTCTGCACCAATTCCTGCATTGCCGCCCATGCCGCTAACGCCTCCTCCTCCTACACCTCTGCCAACAGACATTACCTCATCCACCTCTGTTGGCTTTCTCAAGCGCATCACTGCTACATTCAAGATTCGCTATGCTTCATCCTCCTCCTCCTCCTCCTCACAAAATGAAGCAGCAGCAGCAGCAGCAGCCGCAGCAGCAGAGGCAGACAACCAAATGGCCCTACCTCCTCAATCACCAAAGCAACCATCCAATTGGCGCCAAGTGAATACACCACCATTTGCATTTAATACAACAGTGCCAGCATTACCATCATCTCCTCCCATAGCTGTACCCATGGCAGTGACACCGCCATCCATCATCAAAAGCTCCACAAGCACAAGCAGCATCAATAGCAGTAGTACTACTGGTAGCAGCGTTGATAGCCTGCAACATGGCACCTTTTTAAAGCATTTGAATTCGACACATGGTGGCTACAGTATCAGAAAATCATTAAGCAGCGGCACAGCTGCTATTGCAAGCCATCATGGCCATTAGATTTCTACATCTCTTGTATCATATTATATCCCTTACTGTATTTCTAGACAATAAAATGTATCAATATTCCTATTTCCTATTAAAACCCCATTATCAATGCAGAATCGTACATTTTCAGAAAGCGTTTTGTCACAAAATTTAATTAAATTTAATATAATTTTGCCATGAAAGCAAGCTCGGTTGCCGTTTCCGTCGTTGGCTTGCATTTAGGTCGCTTTCAGGAGACATGCGACTCTGTGAAATGTATTGCTGGCTGTCTGCTCTGAAACAAAATACAGCCACAATCGAGCATGGCATCGACTCAAACACTGCTCGGCCGATGATGGGCAGTCTTGATGATCCTACTCTTGTGAATCAGGTCTCCCTAGCAGAGTTCATCAAGGGGCATGGCCCGCGGGGGCGAACTACACTGGTTTAATCAACCCAGAATGCCACGTGATGTTGAAAGTTTACCCTTCTCGCTTCTGCTGCTGCAGGATCAAGCATTTAAATCAATGACGCAAAAAAGGTCCATATTCTTCTTTTTGGTCTTCTTTTCTGTTTTCACATTTCTTTACACATTGTTCTTCATCTCGCACCCAGTTCATACAGCCTTCATCCAGCGCAACATGTCCTACTATTGCCACGAATGTGCACAAAGAAGAGAAGTAGTGTATCATCCATTAGCCTGCGCAGTGTGCGGAAGCGAGATAATAGATTCTGTAAGAAGCAACACATCAAATAGCCAAAGCCCATATTCATCTGTTGTCCTAGATACCGATTGTCAATGAGGAAAGCAGCGAAGAGGAAGAATTGCAAGAGTTCTTTTCTGAGATTGACATGTATTGTATGTAAGCGTCATCAAGACCTGAGAAAAGGTGATTGAACACATGTACTAGACAATGCTCTGGCACGAGAGCAAGCTCAGGATGACGCTAATTTCCCCAGCTTCGAGGACGAGGAAGAAGAGGGCAGCGAGGAGGCTTTGGAGGAGAGATGTCTATTCGAGCAACTGGCATCCATGTACAATCATCCGGTTGCCAGAAACTTTACGAGCAGCAGCACGCATCCCTTTATAGCATCATCCTCGGGATCCGATACACCTACCGTTTTGAGAGAGCTAGCCGAGAGACTGCATCGCAATGAAGCAGAAGAAGCAGAGGAAGAGGCGGATGATACTGAAGATGACGGGGACATTATCTCGTACGATGTGCGCTTTGAACAAAGAGCAATGAATGAGAACAACGAATTGGAACCGCCGCATGCAGACAGGACGTGGGAAACGCCCATCGCACCAGAGCCAGAAACCGAGAGCCTATTCCACCTGCCATTTGCTCGATTTGGAAGACTGTTGGAGTAAGTTGTGTAGGGGCAGGGTGTCTGAGGCCAACCTTTCACTAACTCGAGGTTGCAGTGCCATGTACAGCTATCGCTCTGATGATGAATCTGATGAAGGCGATGGCGAATATCACCGAAGAAGCTTCTTGGATAATCTAGCAGACATCTTGTCAGATTACACCTCAGAGTCAGTATGCACCATGTTGAGAAGAAATAGACGTAGTATTCACCAGGTTTCTAGAGCTCGTCAGCAACAATCCGTTACCACACCCTCAGCAACAGTAGATGTCATTGTCAAAAGCTTGCAGAAATCATGTTTAGACTCATCTGATCCATGTAAACAAATGGCACTAGGTTCAAAATCCAAATATTTGCTCATCTGCAATGATTTTTAGTGGTACACGATGAATGCATTATCTGCCAGGAGGTATATGGAACGTCCATTGAGATCTTCCACTTGCCTTGCCAGCATAAATACCATGGTGTTTGTATCACAAAGTGGTTTAGTGTCAATACATCGTGTCCAATATGGTAAACGAAGCTTGAAATTCCTGCAAATCATACCATTAAATGCTCTGTATATCTAGCCGGCACCCTGCAGATAAAGAACAGCAACAGAATCAAGCAATGCAACAAGGTCAGCAGCAGCAGCAAAGTGGCAGACCGCAAAACACAACGCCTCCGTCTATCACACTAGATGGCTTTAGTTCGCCTACCTCATCCGCGCCTTCTCTGCCTTCAACTTCCTCCTCGTTTGTATCTGCAACTCATGAAGGTACTTTGATTGCTTTTGCTTACATACTTGTGCACTTCCATTAACCACACATTACAATCTACACAGTAGAGCGCTTTGATTGGTCAGCTATGCGCATTGTGCCAGGGCATGCTCCTTCTCTGACGGATAGCGATCAAAGTGAGGATGTTGTTTTGGATGTGTGGCAGAATAGCGACACAGAGCCAAGTCGAGAACAAAACGAACAAGAGGAGCACGACACAGATTCGGATGATGATATCGTTCGTAGTTTTGAGAGATCCATTTCATCCGTGCTGTCACCTAGAGTGCTAAACACAATACTGGGTGGTGATTCTGACTCCAGAAGTCAGGGAACAAGAGATGTTTATCCACCTTTGAATCCCATGGATTTCTATATGACAGATCGTTATCGCACACCTTCGCCGCGCATTAGATGGGATATCAGCAGTGTGCATGATGACGACGATGATGATGATACCATGTTGATGGATTGGGTGCACAACTCGTCCATGGATGAAGTGGACTAATAGTTACACCGTCATCGTTGGTCGAATGTCCATGCTCTACCCCTCACATTTTATATATATATAGCAATCACTCTCTTATATACCAAATTATTGTATACATATCTATAGCATCACCATCTAATTTGCATAAAGCACGACTCAACTTACTAAAAATATCTTTAATTTAATCTGATCTAATGGTATCTATTGAATGCGTACGGATACATGATGCATCGTGAATGGTATTGTTGGTCACACTGATCATGGCAGATTTAGAACAGCTGGCATTGCGGAGGTATTCAAATCAAAAAAGCAGGCGTAGACCTCAGAAAACAAGATATTAGAACTACCATATGACAGCTGCAGCCATTAATTTCATAGTATTATGGAGCGAAATGGGTTGCTTTTTAACCCAAGGCCAATCTTGTGTTAGATATCATGCTCCCTGTTAATGATACCAATCAAGTGTTCACACTACCACACCTACAAATTGTGTGTAATTTCAAGCGAAAAGAATACACTTCATATAAAATTTCATGTTACACTTTTTGCTTTTGTTGGGAGGTTATCGGATCATGCAAAGTCAAAGCAATTCGTTTATAGCTAAAACTCATACAGAGTTGCCTTTCCAGTAAATTGCAACTGCCAAAGATGTGATTTATACCGTGTAAATAAACTCTATAAAACAATACATAACGAAAGTTGACAGCTTTCAAGCCCTCATATCTTGACATGTAGGCGTTTCTGAGCCACCGAAATGACGCCAAACAATTGTACTTGAGTAGTAGTAACTTCCTGACACCTTTGCTCAACTTTTCGGGCCAAAAATCGACTAAAAAGCATGAGGAGTACCTCATGGTTTTCATCGAAAATCAAACGATCGCATTTTTCACCTTGAAAAATGAAGACTTTTACTATGGTATACGAGCCTTTCAGCACTTCGGGTGGTTTCCTGACCTACGCTTCGCTTCGGTGGAAACCAACCTACGTTCAAACGGCTCGCGCTGCCGCGGGCCTTTGGCTAATATCCCAAAATTAATAGAGCTAAAATGTTAGAAGAGGAACCCTGATTGTTGATTGATACATAATCACTAATCATATGAGTGTTTATGCTTCGGATGGTTCTCACCGAAGCGTAGCGAAGGTAGAGAACCAACCTGCGCAGCGGCAGCTCGTGCTACTGATTGCTCTTGCGTATTTTATCAAAATACTGCTACTTTCATTTTGACCCTCCACTTACACATAGTAACCCTTCATATTATCTGTGGATCTGATTCTTATGTGATGTTCTACATCCATATACACGTAGCTACTTCATATACGGGCAAGCAGCATACTGGTATTCCCACTTTTTAGTCCTTAGTGTCCCTAATACAGAAAGTATGAGTGCATTTGAGCTGAATTTTCTTGCGTTCAAGGCCGTTTTAGATCGTCAGAATAGCCCCAAATGGTTGCTTTCATCTGGCAGTTACTTTCTGACACTTTTGCTCGACTTTTTGGGGACCAAAAAAACATGGTCAAAAATCGACCAAAAAGCATGAGGTATCCCTCATGGTTTTCATCGAAAATCAAACGATCGCATTTTTCATCTTGATAATGGAGACTTTTACTATGGTATATCTTGAATCAAAATGTTTCTATCAATCCAAAGCAACCTCTGAAATTATCTTTGTGGGACTTTGATATGTAAAATTTCGACATTTTGGCCATAAATCTCTTTTCATATTTTTACAAATCATTCAATAAGTAAATTCAAAACATCTATATAACTTGGTACCATTGGAAGCGCCTTGAAAAGTACTCCAGGAAAGCTTAAGGAAGCATGGGGTGATTATCATACTTCACTTAGTCGAATCTGCAAAAATAGCTCGATCGAGTCCAGAATCATCAAAATTTGTCCAATCTGGGACAGACTATGATTCTGGGTTTGAATTAATTTTGGCTGGTGGGGCCAGCTGGAAAACTCATGCCCTTTTCATAAGGCAATACAGTAGTAAATGCCCTTGAAGCGTATAGAAAGTAGGTGGAATGTCATAGCACTATCGTTTATAATGATATTTTATTGCCTTCTATATCGTTCATAATGATATTTTATTGCATTCTATATTTAATAACGTTAGTCTGGACATTGACAATGCATGGGTTGCATAAAATGTCTGCAGTAAGTAGTGAAATCTCTGAGGCTCCGAGCTGTCGTTCAAAGAAAACGTTGGTAGCATTGAGCAGAGGAAAGAGGATAGAAATAATAGTGGTTTTTATTGATTGATTGTAAAATCATTATTCTCATATGAGCCAGGTCTGATAGATGCCTTGAAACTCAGGTTCCATATTAGGATTGTAAAGTGCAAAAGGACTGAACATTTATTATGTTATGATATGAGCCAGGTCTGATAGATGCCTTGAAACTCAGGTTCCATATTAGGATTGTAAAGTGCAAAAGGACTGAACATTTATTATGTTATGATATGAGCCAGGTCTGATAGATGCCTTGAAACTCAGGTTCCATATTAGGATTGTAAAGTGCAAAAGGACTGAACATTTATTATGTTATGATATTGAATCAAAGTGTTTCTCTCAATCCAAAACAGCTTCTGAAACCACTTTTATGAGGCTTTTATATGCAAAATATGACTATTTTCGCTGAAAACCTCATTTCAAATTTTATTAAATTGCTCAATAATTTCAGTCAAAACACTTATTACAATTAACACCATTGGAAGCGCCTTGAAAAGTACTTCAAAGATGTATTAGGAAGTATTTTTTTTTTTTTTTTTTGTAGGGGAGTCGAGCTCCAGGTTTTATTTAAAGTCCTTAAAATGTCATGCTGAGGGATAGAAAAGACTGTTGGTGGACCCAATGTCTGCAAAGAAGGGGAATAAGATATTTTTGAATTAAGTTGGGAAAGAAATCTACTGCTAATAAGGTGCGACACCTAGAGCCAAAACAGTCTTGCGGAAATCGTCAAAATATAGATAATGGATAGAGTACAAAACACCAAACGAGGACATCAGTACTACTTCAAAAAATCAAACAACTTGCGTTCACCAGGATTTGAACCGGGATCCTCCCGTTGGCATACGGGAGTTTTTACCACTTCGCCCTACCACCAGGGGCTTGTATTAGGAAGTATGAGATGTTCAACAAGACTTTCATAGTCGAATATACAAAATAGATAGAATCAAGTCGAAACTGACGAATATTAAACCAATATGGTGCAAATTCTTAACCCGGAGTTTTAATGTTTTGGCTGGCAAATGCAGTGCCGTATTCCCTTCCTGAGACAACAATGTTCTGAAGCTAATAACAAGAGAATTACGAATCGACTGGCACTATAGCTTATTCTAGATATACCTTTCTTAAGCTCTGTTGCTTATCTTTATATTTATAAAGGCTTTTTGGTACAAATTGCAAAGCCAAATGCGTGGGTTAGTGTGATATCCTATCCAGAATACCAGATCGCAAAACCGTTTGAATCAGTGATAACAAAAGCTAATACGCGACGATAAAGCATCAGGCATTGATTTTATGACCATAGAGCCAAGAAAGTGCCTGAAATAATTCGATAAATGTGAAACATGAGGAGGCAGATGTACGTTCAAAGATGTTGAAATAAAGATTACATGTGTACGCCATCGCAATCAACATTGGCATATGTTTTCAAGTGCGGGAGCCAAGGCAATCCCATATAAATATATAAAATAAGCCGTGTTTCAGTTTCACCATTCAGATCAAGTGTGTATGTATGTGTGTGTGTGTGTGTGTGCATGTACCTTTAATCATGCAAATGCAATCAATTATCGTTTTTTTTTTTTTTTTTTTTTTTTTTTTGTTTAGATCAAGATGAGCAGAATGGCCTGATTTGAAAATTAAATACAGACAGATTGGCCTTACTCAGCATACATGTGTATCAAAGACCTACAGCTTGACTATTCCTGGCTGACTGACTTCATGTGAGAAATGGCGTCAATTGAACATGTACACACAATAACCAGCTATAAGGCATTTTCTGGTAATGATTTGTGGATTCCCCAACATGTAGAAACTCTTAAAAATTGGGGCATGTCATATAAATACTTTTGCTGGTTCCAAGGAGCAATCTCCAAACTAGGAGACAGCTCCAAGTCTCCCTTGCTCCTTTAAAGCGTCGGTAGGCAGTAGGCTTCTATATTTGAGGGTGAGAAAATAAGCATGTGCATTCAGTTCATGTCTTCGGGATCATCAAGTGACCACTTTATAACGTTAAGCAAATGGAATGCGAGCATTTGACCTTTGCCAGTTGTGATTCAACATGTCATTCTGCCAATCATATTGTACATGTCATCTCCATCATGCTGAAGCTCGTGATAATGATGGGCCTATATATAATAAGCTTTTACGTGCATTCTACCTCTTTTTTCTCTTTGTCATCAGTCCTCTCAATAGACATGTCGCCTATTATTGATTTTGTTCGTCGTCAATTGTCCTCTACAAAGTTGCATGAAGAGCAACACACCGCAAATGCCGCTACCACAACCGATCTGATCTCAAGATCAGGCTATCTAAATGAAGGCAAGTGTTCCGCATTATAAAATCCGATTGAATTACCAATACTGGATGCTTATACAAAACACGAACAGGCACTGCCATGGATCATGCTAAGCGCCAAAGACTTGGCTTGAATGGTCTTTTACCTGCTGGTGTTGAGACATTGGAAATCCAAAAAGCTCGTGCTCTGCGAGTGCTTCGCTCAAAGCACAATTTATTAGAAAAGTACATTTTAATGGCCCAACTTCGTACTACCAACGTTCGTTTATTCTATAAGATTGTCATTGATGAATTAGAGGTATACAGACTGACAAAGCAGCAATCTCTTTCAATCACTAATAGGCGTCATGTAGGAATTGGCCCCTGTGATCTATACCCCGACTGTTGGCACCGCATGCTTGGAATACTCAACCATCTATCCCTTCTTGGCTGCTCCTGGTGTATCGGATGGTCTTTATCTCACTAAAGCCGAATTGCCGGAACTGTGTCAAACTATTCGCAACTATCGTCCTACAGACACCGAGGGTTTCGAGCCAGAGATTGCTGTGATTTCTGATGGTTCTCGCATTCTAGGTCTCGGTGATTTGGGAACAAACGGTATTGGTATCCCCATTGGTAAACTCCAACTCTATGTTGCTGGTGCTGGTATCGACCCTCGTCGCACATTACCCATCATTCTGGATTTGGGTACAAATAATGAAAAGTTGCTCAATGATGAGTTTTATATCGGTCTTCGTCAAAAGCGACCCAATGATGAAGAGGTAAGCCTATGAGCATAGTGGATCAACACAAGAGTTGGCTGCTAACAGCATTTGTGCATAGTTTTATCAAACAGTGGACACAGTCTTAACAGCACTCCACACTGTTTATCCCAACCTCCTTATTCAATTTGAAGATTGGTCCTCTGAACACGCATTTGGCCTCTTGGACAAGTACCAAAATCAAATGCTCTGCTTCAATGACGACATCCAAGGCACAGGGGCTGTCATTTTGTCTGGTGTCATTAACGCCATTCGCAAGGTGGAGAAAGAGAACCAGGTGTCTCCTCGTGATCACCGTATTGTGTTCTATGGTGCTGGTTCTGCTGCTATTGGCGTTGCTCGTCAAATTCAAAGCTACTTTCAAATTGAGCACAACATGACTGAAGAGGAAGCTAAGCGTGTCTTTTGGATTGTGGATTCCAAGGTGAGTGATAGATAGTGTGCATGATGAGCTATTATTCATCATGCTTCTCCTGACAGGGCCTTGTCACTACTACACGAGGCGATAAATTAGCTCAACACAAGGTGTATTACGCACGGGATGACAATGAAGGTCAACAGTACAAGGAATTAATCGATATTGTCAACTATGTTAAGCCCACAGCGTAAGTCATCTGTATATCATGCGATTTGTTGAATCAGGCTCTAATACCAGCTCTAGTTTGATCGGTTTGTCATCCACGACCGGCGCTTTCAACGCTCAAGTTTTGGAGCGTCTTGCCTCACTCAACGAACAACCAATTGTATTCCCTCTCTCCAATCCAGCCACACAGGCAGAATGCACATTTGAGCAAGCCATGGAAGCCACCAACAACAAGGTCATTTTTGCATCTGGCACCGCTTTCCCTGCATATACCATCAAATCCACTGGCGAGATCAAATATCCTGGTCAAGGCAACAACATGTACATCTTCCCTGGTTTAGGCCTTGGTGCTGTCCTGGCTAAACCCAAGCATATCTCTGACCGTATGATCTACGAAGCATCCAAAGCATTAGCTGACTCGCTTACTGAAGAAGAAATCAGCAAGGGCTGGCTCTATCCATCTTTGAAGCGTATTCGCAGCGTATCAGCTATCGTTGCAGCAGCTGTTTGTCAAGAGACGTTGAATGAGAATCTAGCCACATCGCAAGCTATGATGCAGTGCAAATCACATGAGGACATTTTAGATTATGTAAAAGCTCATATGTGGTCTCCCAGCTATGGAAGTAATAATCAACAAGCTGGTAAATTGTAGTAGTTGTAATAGCAGTAGTGAATAAAGTTTATTATACCCCTCAAAATTCCCTTTTTGTGCCATTTGTCCGGTTGTTGTTTATTTGGGCTCCAAGTTACACATGAGTGTACCGTACGTTCTACAGCGGTACGATGCATTATCAATGATTCATGCGGGGTATCAAGACATTGGAAATGCTGCTATCCAAAGCTCCATTGTGCCATTGAAAACACAAGCAGCAGGATATTTCAGTAGATTTGATGCATGGCGGTTGGAGCGAGAAGTGATGGGAGGTATGCCACCTCCATGTTACCTGGATCGAAATCAGGCATTGACACTGGATTAAAATCCAATTTTTGGTAGTAAATCACTGCTTCAAAGGCAATCTTTGAGGTCGTTTCATTCCATGAGCGAGGGCTCGCTAGGGAAAGCAATTCACGTCAAAAGTAGCCTATACATGTGAGTCATCATGATTGATTCTATTTTGCAAGAAAAACGGATTTTAACGTAACGTACAAGGCGCCTGAGATTGGTGTATTCTACTAAATGTAGGTAATGCCCTGACTTGAAAATTAATGCACAGTTTTTTTTTTTTTTTTTTTTTTTTTTTTCTGGCAGATGAACGGCATCCCTACCAGGGAGCCACCGTCCCACGTCCATGCAGATAAGCCTGTTCATGCTAATTCATGTTACGTCTCTGAATTCGATGCTGGTTGCACTGACGTCCCATGTTGAATGATCCGTCAGCAAGCATTTTGTCATGTCTAATGACCAGCGTTATTCGCATCACCTCCTTCAACATGGCATACAGCAAATACCATTAAAAAAAAAAAAAACCTTTATACAAGCGGGAAGATTTGCTCGCAAGAGTGAAACACATTCATTTTGATTTACTAAATTAAGATTTCTTCTTTTTCTGCCACCTGCATAAACAGTGATCTTGAGTGGCTGTGTTTCAAGGCCTAAACAGCAGTCGGGGGGTTTTACGTTCGTTATATGATGTGTAAACTACAAAAGCAATTCTTTTCTTTTTTTTCTCTCTCTCCCTTTTCTTACATATCTCTGTTCTTTGCACGCATCTCCCTGCCATTCCATTGACCTTTATACACACACTATTGCACTACCGGCATGCTCATTTTAAGGCACAACACCCTATCGTCTGAAGACCTGTTCAAAATTGAATGTGTAAAGTATATTACTGCTCTGTTTGTTTACACACAATGATCAGGATTTCTAAATTGGATGCTTGTTTCTTTAGCTCATGATCAAGGTGGCAGATCCAAAATACGTAATTCAGGATCTTCAGCATTTCACTGTTCTTGACAAATCTCGAGCAGAACTGTATGGATACATTCTCGGATTCTTGGAGCGCCTTGGTTTATGCGAATCTATTGGTGTTACACCATCTGAATTTCTCGATTTTTTAGTAGATGTGGATCATGGCTACTTGCCAAACGCGTACCACTCGTTCTATCATGCGGTGGACGTTGCCATTGTGCTGTATCATATGGTGTGTCAATACGATATCGCCAGCTACATTTCTCGCATCGATATCGCTGCGCTAATGATTGCTGGCTTGTGTCATGATATTGGTCATGTAAGTGGGTTAAACCAATGAAATGAAGGGTGAAGGTTACTAATTTGTACTGGAAAAAAATTTTCAGCCAGGCAAGAACAACAACTTTCAAGTCAATCTAAAGACGGATTTGGCTATTCGATATAGTAACAAGTCAGTTTTAGAAAGCTACTCTTGCACCATCACAATGGATCTGTTAACAAAGCACAAGCTGCTAAGAAAACTGGAGAAAGCAAGCGGGTCATTGGGGCTGCCTACATCAGAGTCTGAAATGCGCACTGGGATCATCAAGATGATTTTAGCAACAGACATGATTTTCCACTATGAACTGCAAGAAAACCTGGCAAACCTATTAGAAATCATCACGGATGAAAATGTGGGACAAGATCAAGTGATGCAAATGAGATCTTCTCTACATAAACCGGTTTTACCGTCCACAAAAGAGGAGGATGAAGACGAGAAGGAATGCCACCACCACAATCACACGCAACAGCCGCCACAATCCCAAGATCAAGATCAAGATCAAGACGCAGAGATCCAGGTCAAGGACATATTCTCCAGCCAAGGCGCTAAAAGCGCGATATCGTATTTTAGAAGGAAATCGTATTTCGAGGAGGACACTGTACCACTATGCTTAAAGACAATGCCTGTATTACCTGTGAGTCCAGAAGAGGAAGAGGAAGACGACGATGATGACGATGCGGATCATAACAACTCCACAACCAACACGTTAGCCAGCACCACGTCAGAAAAGCATCATTCATCTGGAGTGGATCTCGTGACGGTAACGACACCCGATGGCAAGACGGCATTTACACCACCAAACTACATAATGGAACCACAGCAGCGGTTGATACTATGCCAGATTATACTCCATGCTGCTGACATAAGTAATGCGCTAAGACCATGGCCTATATGTCTAAGCTGGTCAAATTTAGTGTGTGAAGAATTCTTCCTGCAAGGCGACGCTGAACAAGAGCACGGACTCAAAGTATCACCGAATATGGACAGAAATCAAGTGAGCCAAACCACCATTGGCTTGCAATTTGGCGACTTTGTGGTTAGCCCTTATTTCGAGATATTTGCAGCCTTGTTTCCCAAGGCCGATGAACTGCTGAAAGAGCTGGCAGCCAATCGATTACAATGGATCAAGATGGAGGAAGAGCTGCAAGACAACAAAGACCAAGAAGAGGAGGAAAATCAACGACTGCCATCCAGCATGTTACCTGATCGACCCATCATCAATCCATCAGGCAGACGAGTCAGTGTGGCTGCTGGTATGGTGGTTATACCTGATGAACTGGAAGAACGCACGATTGGATCAGGAAAATACAAGCGCAAATACTGGGGTGTTCGAAGTGTTAGTCATAGCGATATATCAGACTTGAAGGAACAATTGACACATCGTGAAAGAAATGAGGTTATCCGCAGACGAAAGAGCGAGGAACCAAATTTTGTCAATTCCAGAAGACTCAAACTCACGCCCATGTCACCTCGATCTTCACCTCCAACAAAGAGGTCTTCTACACTACCTGTTGGACAAAAATAGCCCCCCCCCCTTAACCATGTCTCTTAAAAATATATAAAACGACAGGCCTAGCCTTCATTGTCTCTTCAGCGGCCTCTTAATCACCCACAATGTAACAGTAGATCTCCCTATACAAAATTTATTATAAAATACGCTTTGCAGTGGTACATGTTGCCTTTCCCATCTCTTTTCTCTTTCTTTCTTTTTCTTCTAGTAAACACCCAACATGGCTTTTCTATTCATTATACGAGCATATGCCTGTATATATCTTGTATTATCGATCATTGAACCTAAGCAGACAGCCGACATGACAGCACTGCTTTTAGAACTGATGGTACCTACTGGCAAAACAAGTCGTTTGAATCACATTGTACGGTGTATGTGTCTGCTGCTCGTCTTTGTTGTACTGTATACCTTTACTTGCATCAATGCTATCAAGAACCTCACAGCGCCCCCTCCACCAGCATCGCCACATATGCCAGTATCATTACCTGAGCCATCATCAAAGAGCCCCACATCAAAAACAACAACAACAACCAAACAAACAGCCAGTAAAATCAACAATGCACCCGCAAAAACACCTATGCGTTCGACTGCAGATTTGGCTACAGTTCACGGTAAACAGGTGGAGCCAATAGCGGCCAACGACAACAGCAACCAAAGCGCCAACCATGCCCATGTTACTCCTTCTGATCCGCCTCCCCCTCCTTCTTCCGCCATGAATGACGCTGGTAAAGACCAATTGACTCAATTAATCAATAATGATACTATCATCAAGAAACAAGATCCCACAGCTACTCAGGTGATACCAATGAAAGCCAAAGAAGAACATGTAGATGTTGCTGAAAAGGATCAAGTAGCACAACCTGCTATTCCTGTTCAAACACCGGAAGCATTTCATCCGCAACAACCCTCAGCCACTACTACAACACAGGTGGATCAAGCAGCAGCAGCATCTGATAAGCATTCGAAAAAGGAGCAGTACTATGAGGAAATCAATAGAAAAGGGAATGATCTTATGGCATTTTCTGATAACTTGCAGCGTATCTTTGATGAGCCACCCACACCTTCCCCCGATCACCATGGTCGACCTTTCTCCATGATACAGCCTAGCAGCACTTACTTGGATGAGGCCATTTCAACCACGCCTGCCTTGACTCCACCCAACCAATCCTCTGCTGCTGGTTCAACATTGTCTCGTAAAAGCAGTATGGCAAGCCAAGATTCCGTGCTCAAGAGTAAATTGCATCAAGCATTTCAAAAGATTACTCGATCCAGCACTATTAATGTCACCCACAACAACAACAACAACAACAACAACAACAACAACAACAAACAACAACACAATGATGATATCACTGCCGTGGCCCCAGAGCCCTCTAAAAGCAAACGATTCAGCTCTATTCGATTCAGTAAAAGAAAGGTGCCCAAAGAGCAGAAGGCGGAAGCTGCAGAGGTGAACAGCCCCATCCATGATGCGCCTACACCCAGGAAATCCACTTCTACCACCAAGAACATTGTAAAGAAAGTGTTTAACCGAACAAGCAGAATGCTTTCTAAACAACCATTGTAATCAGCCTTAATCTTAATTGCACATAGTTTGCGTATATATTCCTTTTTTTTTTTTTTCTTTTCTTTCTTACTTTTGCTTAATCAAATAAAAATTTCGATTTATGAACAAACAATCAACAGCAAATGCCTCAGTCTGATGTGATACCCGAGCTCCAAATACCTCTCCTTGGCGCTTATTATGTATATAAACTTGCTAAAAATATCGATAGTATTCATGCGCCGTTGCCTTTTAATAATGGCTGTTGTTGCAGTGGAACCAAGCCAGCACAGCGCAGAGCAAATAATATCGTATGGTATTGGAAATGAGTGTCGCTGCACCGTTTTGTTTTTTTTTTTTTTATCTCCACCACGGTAGATTTCAACTGGCAAAGCGAAATAGCACTGCAGTAGTCTCTAAACGAGACAGGATCCGTCATGCCTTGGCAAAGTTTGATTTAAAAGCATCACATGGCACTATGTAGACATATCTAATACGGATCATGAGGCCGCGTCAACAGTGGATATGAGCACTGCCATAGTGGATGTCGAGGTAAACATCTGGCAGAAAGCAAGACTAGTATTTGGTCAACAACTATCAGAAAAATGGCCGTATTCATATCGGTAGCCCACCACAAGAATCCTACTTGAACTTTGATACAGGTAGTGCCGATATTTGGGTACCAGCATCTGATTGTCATCGTTGCGGTGGTCAAAGACACTACAAGTCCTCACTGTCTGGCTCATTTCGCCCGGAAACCATGGATGAGAATAGCACATGGCAAGTGCGTTATGGCAACGGTTCAGGCATCGCGGGTATCATTGGGCATGTTACAATCATTCTCGGAAATGACCTTTCGCTAGAGAACTGTCTCTTTGGTATTGCCAAGGAGCAAGCGCATGGATTTGCAAGAGATCCGTTCATGGATGGTTTGTTTGGCTTGGCTTTTCCTGCTCTTGCAGCAATTAACAACAAGACCAGTTTTGTTCAGGAATTACATAATCAAGGAGCATGTTGTTCGTTTTTTTTTTTTTTTTTTTTTTTGGCTTGGCTTGGCTTGGCTTGGCCGGTCCACAGCCGAGAAGGATAATAAGCAAGGTGAAGTGGTAAGTTGTAATCGATGCCTATGCTCTCGTCAAGCGCAGATGCTGAATAATTCAATATAGATGATTGAAAGCATCAATACCGACTACTTGGATGGCAACCTTGCTTACATTCCAGTGGAACAGCAATCGTTTTGGAAAGTGCCCGTGCGTGATGTCTCGGTCCATGGCCAGCAGATCTACGATAAAGCAGGCGGTGCTATTCTGGATACAGGTGCCACACTACTGGTTACGCCAGCTACGGTGTCTCGAAAGATCCATGAGGCTAGCTTTGATGCCTTGTACGGCTGGCGCATGCTTTTGTGATTTAGCTACCACCAAGGGCCATGAATAGGGTATCACCATCACATTGGGAGAGCATGATTTCTCGCTCAGTGCTGCTGATCTTGTGAGAGACAGACGCTTCTCAAAAAGTAGTATAGCGTGTATGATTATAATAATATGCAGGTGGGTTTAGCACCTTCCAAACGGCATTGAACACAGTAATCAAAACGTAGTTTATTAGTACATGAAAGCGCTAGATCTTTGTCTTTGTTCTGAATTTCAGTAAAGGGGCCAAAATTTCCAGAGGGCCAGCCTTCTTGAGGAATTCATGCTAGTGATTCGTGTTAGTAGTGCATCAAACAGCACACATAAAGGCAGCTTACATTAATCAGTTCCATTGAGTTTGCTCTCGATCTCACATCGACGCAGAGACAGACAGCCAAGAATGACTTGAGTTCGCTTGATAATCTCTCTGGGTTCTTCAGCGTGGGTGTGCCGTTGGTTGCAATCAAATACAAGGCCTTGAGAGGCTCTTCGTCCAAGTAGGGTGGTTCATTTTCAATCATCTCAATAGCCATGATACCCAAAGACCAGATATCGACCTTGGCACCGTATTCCTTTTGCTTGACCACCTCAGGTGCCATCCAATAAGGAGTACCTACCATAGTGGCACGCTTTCTCTTTTGGTCAGTCAATTTGGCACAGAAACCAAAATCACTGATTTTGACATGCCCTTGCGAATTGAGCAGAATGTTGTCAGACTTAATGTCTCTGTGAATGATGTTTTGAGAGTGCAAATGGTGCAAGCCAGCAACAGTTTCCAGACACACGGTGGAAATTTGTTGTTCTGTCATTTTGCTGTTGTTGTCAATGACATCAGTCAAGGCACCGCCCTCCATGAACTCCATGACCACCCACAAATCAGAGCTGCCAACAAGGAACGAGTCAAGGAAATTGACGATATTGGGATGCTGTGATTCTTTCATGACGAGAATTTCATTGACAATGAGCTCTTTGCGTGGTTGATGAGCCAAATCCATCTGCTTGACGGCGACCTTGGTATTGGTAGCAAGTGAGTTGGCTACATAAACTGAGCCAGAAGCGCTATCATTATACCAGTTAATATACCAGTGAGATATGCTTTCATTAACGCACGCGTAATTACCCTTGACCCACACGCTTGATCTTTTTATAGCATTCGTTAGGATCTCCCTTGGACACAACAGAGCCTATCAACAAACAGACATGAGAAACGGTTAGATGTAGGATAGGTGGACTTACGCAGTTTCTCCATGATTTGAGCCTCTGACATGGTGCTAATTCTTTGCTCCACCTTCTTTTTGGACGACACTTGAGCAGCAGCCTTCTCTCTTTCTCTTTCACGATGTAATCGCTCTCTTTCCCGTTCTCTCTCTCGTTCTCTCTCCTTTTCGTTTTCCAGTTGCTGTTGCTGCTGCTCTCTTTCTCTTGACACTTGCTGTTGCTGATAGTAATCAACACTGCTGGTACGAACAGGAATTTGCTGCCTTTCTCTCTCCTCTTGCATCTCTGATCCAAGGAGCTTCTCGAGATGAATGTCCTTGATGGATTTGCCACCTGGAATCGGACTCCCATTCTGGTCTCTAGAAGGTAAGGCGTAATTACCCTATAAATTGCTCTACATCAGTAACCATCATCCCCGCGGACACGCGCAGTATTCTGTTTGTGTAATGTAGCCACTTACAGGCAAAGCTGGTGTAATCGCATTGTTGGTTGTATGCGATGGTCTAGGCAGTGAAGGTGATTGCTGCTGTTGCTGCTGCTGTTGCTGCTGCTTTTGCTGTATCTTTTGCTGTTGTTGTTGATCCTGTACATCAGTCAAAGGTGAGTCCCGCGTTCATGAATACCACTAGAAAAAGGCTTACCTGGATCTTTAGTTCAGAAAGAGCTGCTAGTGCGGAGGGTGGCGGAGGAGCAGGTCTTGTTGGTATATTCTTGGGAGGTAATTTGACGTTGGGCACAGGCTTCTTCTGAATGGAGGATGAAGAAGTGGAAGCAGTGGGTGTTTGTGGCGGTTGATGCAACGAGTTTTCTTGCATCATCTTGGCCCATCCAACGCCGCTCATACGTTCGACAGCCCCTTGAAGCTGCGATGTGCCGTATTCTTCCTCTTCACGCTTTGTCTGTTCAGCATAAAATTCCAATACATCTAGCACGGCTTGAGGATTCTTTGCTGCGTCTTCTGCTGTAATGGCTGATCCTTTCAAAAGACGAGTCCATTGATCAGGTAGCCCCTATATACATACATCATTTAATAAGGCTTCGTAATGCCATTTGAATGTAATGATTTACCGTAAATGCACCTGTAATTGGATCAAAGCCCACATGAACGTTATGAATGAAATTGGTAGGACCCGATGTGCCAACAGACGATCGCTAAAGCATAGACATGTCAGCCACCATGAGATGGTTACAATGGCATGTTACCGCCAGCACTTACATTGTATATTTCATCCATCCAGCTGTACAGTTCCTCATCGCTCTTGCAAGAAACATAGTATGTCTTGTCTTTGGCTGAGATTTCAAAGCAATAAGGCTTCAAATCTATTCTTGTTACTGATCCAATCTCTTTCAGAAACAACAGGCCGATACATTGGCCAGCCTACACAAGTAGTATGGTGTGAGCTGCATGGAGCACTGTACTGGAGATGATGCACATTTACCTCATTTCGATGGAATGTGAGTGATTGATCACGTAAGACACAGTATCTCTTGGACCAAATCCATGCTCTCAGACCCTCTTCTTTCAAAGAGAGATATCCTTCTTTGATAATTTCAGGCATCTTTAGGAAAGCAAATAAATAACGAGCAGGTATATGAACCGAGAAAGAAAAAAAAGGGAAGAAAAAGATCAGAAGGAAAGAAAAAGGAGGGGATGTTGCTGTAACAAACAGAGATGATTAGAACCTAATTTTCGTATATTAGTGCGGAGATGTGTGCCTCTGCTCTCTCTTTCTCTCTCTCTCTCTCTCTCTCTCTCTCTCTTTCGCTCGCTCAAGGCGGTGTTGGATGCAATTAACATGTACGACATCAATTGAGTATCCAAATTACTAAATATGTCGCTTCACGTAAATTAAAAGCGACCTTGTTAAAGCCGTGTGTGCATATAAAGCAAGTGCATTGGTAATTGCTAACTGGGGATGGCAGTCGTCATTGGGAGGTGTAGTGTATAGCCATCCCAGGTACTGAAAATGGGCCTAGCAACCAGGCACCATACTATCGACAATCGATGGCACTGTATAATCCCCCCCCCCTCCACTTTTCTAGGGACGCTTCTTTTTAATTGTCTTCAACCATCATATCATTTCGTACGGAAATTTTAATCGTTTATCATAACAAATTCAACAAGAAATAAAGTCTTTTTCAAATATACTTCCTTTTTATTTTCTTCCCTCTCTTTTTTCTTCTTCTTCTTCTCTCTCTTCATCTACTAATTCAATCATACAAGCCGGTCTTTTTTTTTTTTTTTTTTTTTTTTCTCTCTCTCTCTCTCGCCTTCTTTATACTCACATTTAATTCAATTGCATAACACCAAATCAAAAATGGCCATGCTCATGAAACCCGGTCAGCCCATCAAGACGATAGGTCAGAATTTAGCTGGACTATGGAGACCTTCGTTTGTAAAAGTAGATCAGCGATTGTACGTCTTTGGAGGTGGCGGCAATGTTACCGATGATTTGCACTATCTTGATCTCAAAAACATGCGCTGGGAGACTATACAAGTAGGTGAGACCATCTCGAAGCCATTGGTCCTTGTGCTCATTCGAATCCTGTAGAATACAAGTGGCATTCCACCATGCAAGAGATATGGACACACTGCAACAAAATGGAGAGACTCAATCATCGTTTTCGGTACATTTAGATGGATCTCCCACCAGCATCACTTGTCCAATTAACATGCACATTACTGAATTTTAGGGGGTTGCAATGAATACCAAGAATATTGTGGAGATGTACATATCTTCAACCTTAAAACATCGACATGGCATCAACCCAACATCACAGGCAGCGTATCTTCTCGCTATCTACACAGCGCTACCGTGTTTGAAGACAAACTCATTGTATATGGTGGGTTTGCAAAGAGCTCGGATTGCACCTACGTTTTGGATGAGCTGTGTGTACTGGATCTCAACACCATGGTATGGACACGGTATCACGATATGCCACCACGGTACAACCATTCAGCCACGCTTGTTGGCAACAAAATGTACATTTACGCAGGCAAAGATGAGCAGGGAAACACAGTGTCTGATCTGTTCATGGTGAATCTCCAGAAGCTGCCTTATACACCACATTTAGTGCTCAGCGGCAATCAACATCAACAGCAACAGTCATGCAGCAATCGTATGGTTCTCTTGAAAAGCCAACACTTTTGTGATACAGCGTGTGGTAAATTAATAGTGTTTGGAAGGTATTTGAACAGTAATAAACATCAACAGCAACAGCAAAATAGTCCCGAGTCAACATACAGCTTATGGATGTTGGATCTGGATACACTAGAGTGGGAGAAGCAAGAATGCGACGGACATTTTGAAGTTGGCGGTTGGAATTATTTCACCATAGTCAATGAAACATCCGGCGAACAGACAGAGGCTCAATCTCAAATCACTATCAACAACTTGCTTTTCCTTGGAAACACAGATCCTTATCGGCCTCAAGGATACGATCATTTCAGGTAATACACTCGTCTCCTCGGTAATTTTTTTTTTTCAGCATGATTTGCTAACAACATGGACAGAGATGCGTTGATGATACACGGGGAATCATTGGGACTCTACGACATTGCTGAGCCAAGATTCACTACAGAGTTTGTTCAACTACTCAACAGCCCAGAGCTATCTGATTTCTCCATCATTGCAGCAAACGGAGAGGAGATTTATGTGCATCAAGTCATCCTATTGACACGTTGGCCGCATTTCAAAAATATACACAAATCTGGCATGTCGGAAGCAATTGAACGAAAAATGACTATACCCGAACCAGTGCAAGTAATCATGGCATTCCTCAAGTTCTTGTACAGTGATCGACTGGATGAATCAGAACCTTGGCAAGTGGTCTGTGATCTGCTGGTCATGGCCAACATGTATCTGCTGCACAGACTCAAGAAGTTATGCTGCGAAAGACTCTACAGGCGCCATATGGCCATTGAAAGTTGTGGTCTGATCTTTGAGAAAGCCATTATGGCTGAGGAAACTGGGCTCAAATTGCTGACTCTTGGCTTTATGTTTCAAAACTATGGCTACATCTTGAAATCCAACATGCTGATGGAGTTGCCTCCTTCTGTGAGAGAGGAATTTCTCGAGGCTGTGCCAGAGGAGGCGGTGCTCGAGGTGGGACGATCCAGATACATTGCAGCAGCTGCTCCAGTCGCTCAGCAATCCCAATCGCAGCCGCAAAACGTAATATTCACCAGCAATTCTGCTCATCACATCTATGTTAGCAGCTCTCAGCCTGCAAGCGTTACTACGTCGTCTACAAGCTCTGCCACATCAGCAAACTACCATCACCATCCTCACCACCACGTTCATCATCATCGCCACCTACAAAATGTCAATTATGTAACATCCGACGTGATACTAAGTCAACGCAGCACTCAAACTCCAAATGAATTGATACCAATCAACAACACAAATTCTAATACTGCAACTGTTAGTACTGACATGACAGTAGAGGTTTAATGCTTGATACACAAATAAATACCACAATTTGATCTACATGTAACGATGGATGTCAATCGAGATGTTGCGCCTGGGGAGTATGAAACTTTTGAAATCAATTTGAGCATTAGACAGTGTCATGTCCTCTTCAGTGGAACAATGAACGATTAGCATCAAAGAGATTATAGTTTTCAACATGATTTGTAACTGAATAGGAACTTTTAAACCCAAGGCTTCCATATTTACAGAATGCTAGTTGAATAAATTTAAAAAATAAATCTATTAAAAGAAAAAGTAAAAGAAAAACAATCTCTCCTTAATTTCCTTGTTACAAAGAGGGCAAGAGAGAAAGAAGCCAAGAACCGAAGAGGGCCCCCCCCCCAGCAGTAGAACAAAGAAGCGGCTTGTAACAATGTATTTTTGTCTAATAGCTTGATTACACAAATCCATATAAATAGATATTTTGTGCTGGTAATTGGTCCCGAAGAATGTAACCACAAGTTATTAATAGAACCTTTAATTGGAGAAAGGTATAAAAGGACCAGATAATTTCATGAAGATCCCTTTTTTATCACCATCAAACAAAACAACAAACATGTCAAAATCTGTACGCTTTAATCCTGAAATCGCCACCTTCATCACTTATAGTGCTGATGAATACGATAGATCATGCTTTGCAGCTTGCAACCCTATCCAATACACATTTGCAATTCCCACTACCCCCATTGAATCTACCCCTACTATATCCATGATACCCACTCAACAACAACAACAACAAGACAGACCCACCATCAAGCCACTTGACTTGTCTATTATTCCCAATTCTCGTAGACGGGCTCTTGATTCACCCACTGCTGTACAGGCGCCAAGACTCAATAGCAAGAAACCAAAGCTAACCATCAATACTCAATCATTGACTCCATTGTTCTTTTCTGGTCTATCAACCCATTACAAATGCAAGAATGAAGACGATGAAGAAGAGCACGGTTACTTGATTCCCGTCATGGCTTGCTAGATAATGCAATCCATCAAAAGAATACCTATACATACAATCTATACATATTATAACCCCCTCCCCTCTTGTACATCTTTACATATAAGCACATTTCAAAAAAGCATTTGCTTTCTTTTTTTTTTCCCGTATAATTCACCTCATGTTCTGCCTTTGCTTCAAACAATAAAACTAGTACGTTTATAAAACAATCAAACACAATGGAAGCTATTCCGGGATTTCTGAAATGTTGAATGTATGCCTGATTTTGGTATACATGCACATATCCATCCCTAACCCTCCTTAAAGATGGTGAGTTTAGTAAATCATTCAATAAGGCTTATAAATTGTAACCGCAATTTATGATTCAGGGCACCATGGTTTATTATAAAGCGCATTGTAAGCTGGCATGTCCAAGTAATCCTTGTGTTCTATTTTAGCTCTGTATTGCGCATACCACCTGCAAAGCAAGGGCGTACTATGTAGTAAAAGAGCCAAGCAATCTCATGAAATTGCTTGTTTACTTCATATTGGGCGGGTAGGTGATGTGTGGCTGGTTGTGTTCAATTTTGTGATCTGATTTTCAATGCTTAATTTTAGATCTTTATACCAAGAATTTTGTCGAGTATGTAAATTATGCAATAAAGAAATCTAAAATTAAGGTGGACACGGAGGAAACTATACTCATCAGAGCTCAGCCCGAGCGTCATTCACATCAAGATCGCTTTGCCGTGTAATGCAGAGCATTGACTCTCAGTCATTTGATACGTGAAAAACCGCTTGGCAAACCGCAAACATCTGTACAAATGTTCATGGCTTAATGTGCATGGAGAAAGAAACAAAAAAACCTCTTTTACAAATATGCACGCGTAAATCAAGTACGTACATTTGCATGAAATGTCAATCTGTTGTTGGGTTTGCCTGTGGAATCTGAAGTGATGGGATGAGAGACAACTATTTATAAACCTGATACTATAATAAATCAAATGCTATTCTTATATTTGCAATGGATACACTTGTTCGTCTACATTTAGAATATATATACCACTAAAAGCTATTTATATGGCCCTGAAAATATATATGCCAAATCGAGAGAATATACAAAGCTCACTTTTCTGTACCTTTTCGTCTATAAATAATACATGTTTGGTGCTTGCTTTTATTGGTAAGAATTCCGCACATGTTGTTGTACAAGATGGAATGTATCGGCATCTGTTCCCAAGTACGTCTCAATAATAGATGGTGTGCAATATAAGAGAGGAGGCTTTGTTTGGGTTGATTAGACAGAAGCAGTAGGATCAAATGCTATACGTTTTGATGAGTCACCCCATGTGAGTTGGCCTCAGAACATGCGTCTCTAGTATGCCTCGGCATATTCAGTATGTGTGTTACTGGTCGCAATATGGTGCTATAGCTAGCTGTCTCGCACGAATGAATAAGAGAATAATGGATTACGCCTCTTTGATAACCGAAGCCTAGCATCTTACTAATACATGCTGGTTTAAATTTGGATCATCATGTTAGAGCCCTCTATAGCGATGTGTAACCGTGGATCTGACTCTTCTGTGATGCTCCGGGCGTGTATTAATGGCATCATTCATATACGGGCAGACAGTATAAGTCCACTTCCACTTACCACTCAAATATACGCAAATATACGCAAAAGACAGCGAAATTTGTATGTATTCGAACCGTGTTTTCTCGTGCTAGAAGCTGTCTCAGACCGCCAGATACGCGCCAAACAATCTCTCTCGTCTAGCGCCTACTTTTTGACACCTTTGCTCTATTTTTTGGGACCTAAAAAACATGGCCAAAAATCGACCAGAAATCTATGAGGGGTACCTCATAGATTTCATGAAAAATCAAACGATCGCGTTTTTAACCTCCAAAATGAAGACTTTTACTAAGGCATATGTTGAATCAAATTACTCCTCTCGATCCAAGGCAGCCCCTGAAATTACTTTTGTGGGGCCTTGCGTTGTAAAACCTTGACATTTTGGCCAAAAACGTCATTTCATATTTTTTCAAATTGCTCGATAACCTCGGTCAAAAAACTTCTTGTAATTAGCACCAGTAGATGCGTCTTGGAAAATACTACAAGGATGCATTAGGAAGTATTTTTTTTTGTAGGGGAGTCGAGCTCCAGGTTTTATTTAAAGCATTAGGAAGTATAGGGTGATCATGACAATTTATATAGTCGAATATGGCAAATAAGTCGAAAGAGATTCAAAAAGTTCAAAAATCATCAAATCAGAAAAGAATGTGGAATTGGAGATTAAAATGGCTCTGGCGGCTGGATGCCTCTCTCATGAAGGTAATTGATGTTTCTGGAGCTAATGATTGATTAATTTAGAAGTATTATAATAGCCTTGTTAGAAAACTTTATATAGCTTCTAATTTACTGCTATATGCTTGAGAGTATTTAGTTGCTATCAAGTGCGCTCGCAAATACGAAACCAAGTGTGAAATGCATGTTAGCATCATACGAACAATTGCGTACGAATCTCACTTTATGTACTGATACTTTGCTATTTGACCTGTTCCAATTTCCGCGGTATTGATAGCAAGATAACTAGTATAGAACAGTAAATTAGAGTTATCTGTCCCATCAAAATGATTTATTTACTTATATGCCGATATTTCCAGATGCTTGTCTCTTTACTTGTTCTCCCATGGGCTATAGTGTTATGGTTTTGTTTTCTCTAATGGAGCTGAAATACATGTTTATCAAGCAACTACCGATCGACATTAAAGTACTACGATTAATACTCTGCCTTCCGTCTTGAATCCATCCAAGTCTGCAGTGAAGCCTGATGTCTACTTGCTTGATGCTGGGCCTTACAAGCAATTTCTAGCAATCCTAGGCCTGCACACGTTTCAAGTAGGTCGCTCTAGTTTAATGCGAGTAATAGAAAATGTAGGAGTCATCTTTTCTGAACCAAACATATGCTTCGTGTCAAATAGTTTACAAATAAAGACACGGTTTCTATTTGGGATTAATAGTTCCACATTATATCTAAACCAATAGGTCCCTGGATCGGTAAGATAACCAATCGTATCGCTGTAAATGGAACCTAGATTAAGCAGAAAAATAGAAAACTATTTATAACCTTAGTTCTATCTACTGCATGTCTATTTAAGCATTGAAGATCTTTCTGTTTTTCGATTTACCTTTCTCTTTCTCTTTCTCAACATTCTTTCTTCCTTTCAAATGTCAAAAAACGTGCAGTTTCAAACAGAAGCGACTGTTCATCTCACCTATAGCTCACTCGAGTATGATAGATCTCGCTTATCCTCCTCCTCTCAACCACTATCCTCACACTCAACGGTCTATGCGACAGCGTTACCGCAAGGATCAGCTGTCAATATTACAAAGATTAATAGACCAAGCCAGGCCAGGCCCTTTATCAAACCGCTGGACCTATCATTGATCCCGAATTCCTCAAGACGAGCTCTAAAGTCAAATTTGAATGGAACAGACGCGCGGCCCTTTCTTTCCAACAAAGACCATGGACAAGCGCAGCAAGAGCATGATGGATTAAACGACTTTTCCATGGTGGTCATGGCCTTTTAGATGACACTCCCATATACCTTGAATAAAAATTGCATATATGCATATTTATATATATATATATATATATTTATATATTTATTATGATTATTTGGCTTTTTGAGTTTCGATATATGTAGTTCTATTGCGTGCGCATTTTTTCAATTGTAGATGTTTTAATCACAATCTTTTTGGCCAGAGGCGATTGTCGAGGTGATGATGATGGTGACAATGCAGATCGTTTTGCCAACACATCTTCCTCCTCATCATCGTCTATTGATCTTCTACGTGATTTGAATGGTGGTGGCGATAAACTGCCTTCTTTTTCTTTTGTTGCATCTGTTTCTGCAGTGTCTTGTTCTTGCTCTTCCAATTCTGGATCTTCATCACGATGTTTTCGCTTCAAGGATGTATTTGATGATTCCATTGCCATAGCCTCGCTCTTTTCCTTGTCCTTTTCTTCTGGCGACTTATCTTTGACGGACAAGTCTTCATCCTCGTCTTCGTCGTCTTCGTAATTTACTAGAGGCGTCTTCACCTTTGCTGTGTCTGATTTTGATGGTATCTGTGTTGCCGACGATGTTTCTTCTTCGTCTGAGCCATTGAAATATTCCTCTTCATCATAATCGACTGTCGATGAAGACCAGCCATCATGGTTATCTTTCTTTTCAGCCTTATCACTATACGCACCCAAATGCGTCAACAATGCGGATCATGTAAACAGCACTGGACTTCTTACCTTGATACGGCCGCTTCGTCCATCTTGTCGTCGCTTGATGCTGCAGTGTTCATATTTTCTTTGTGCTTTTCCCTTAATTGTTGGCAGGTTGTTATATATGTAATAGTGTCCAGCACTGTGCCAAATTGTGTGACCAGGTGATTTACTAGCATCTTGATATTTTCCTTTCTGATGAATTCTAGCAGATCGAGACAGGCGGAATTCAGCAGACAATCTTGGCCTTTTGTATCTAATAAAACACGTATTGTTGCTTCGAATATGTTGCTTTTTATCAGACTTCGGTTGTAGAATTCATCGCAAATCGACACACACACTCGAAAGAACCGTAACCCACCTTTTAGCAATAGAATATTAGCAAAATGAAGCCACTGATGCGTTGCATGAATTACCCAATTTGACATAAGCGTATTTTGATCTGTACAGTTGCATGACTCTGGTGAATATATCGGACGACAGCAAAATGTATTTGCTGCGGAATCCATGATTTCGAATAGCAAAGTACAAAAACTCGCAAATGTACAAGCATAGTTGTGCTTGATCTTGTGTGAGAACTAAAGGTTCAATGGGTCCTAGATGTGCAATGTTGCGTTGGCTTCCCTGACATGACTGGCGCATGCATCGGCTCTTACCCTTCAGTGTAATTGGTTTGATTTCTAGCTTCTCGATTGGATTCAGGACAGTCTTCACATACTTGTCGTAGAATAACTGCAAAAAGTCGTCTGTTTCTGGCGCTTGCTTCAAAGGCTAATAGAGTGCGTTAACAGGTGGCCATCGCTTAAGCATTCTCATGCGCTACATACATCACTCATCATAGGGCCACCAGGTGAGTTGCCACTGGGATCCAACAAGAGTCGCAAAATTTCGAAATACTGCACTTTGAGATCATGATGCGCATCAGACGCGAATTGCTCGACGATGGTACTGATCAAAGGTGTTGTAGTGCGCTCGTCTTTAGACTGAAGCAAGAGATGACTGCGGACACAATTCACATCCAAGTCTGTGAAGGCAGCTAGGATATTCAGCGAAGCGACACGGATTGATCTCTCTTTATCCACAAGGGCAAAATGCATCATGTCAAACAAGCCGTAATCTGCGAGCGATCTGTACAAACTGACACGCACTGAATTTTGCATTTGCTTGGTGAGAGCACACAGTTGGTGCACAAATCGTATAGTTTCGTTTCTCTTCTCCTCTGTCGTGTCCTTATTTCGAACAATCTGAAACAGCTCGCCCAAAAAAATGTGGTTGTTTTGAATGTGATTCACGATTTCAGCGTGGTTCTGGAAGATCATGTTATTGAGCACACCTAATAAACCCTCGTCTGCATCGCCTCCGCTTTGTAAAATGCCTTGAAGATACTCCAATCTGAATGTTTGGTCGATTTTTCGCTTGATGGACTCGTCAGCCAGGTCGACCACTTGTTTGGCGTTTCCATGTGATTTGATAAATTCTCGGTGCTTTGCTTTCATTCCAGGTGTGTTTGGATTATCTATTAGGGGGGCTGGTCAATTGCGATATCACACCAGCATTGAACAATCAAACCTACATTCCAAGATGCCCATAAAGCCAATAATGTACTCGTCTCTCAGCAACTGCTCAATCAGGCCCTGATCATTCAATGCCACTACAAAGAACACGGGGTAAGCATCTATACAGCTATAAAGCACCATGCTGATACATACACAAGCCAATGATGACTTTATACAAGAGATGCAAATCATAGATATCCTCTAGATCCTCGCAAGTTTCAAACATGGGCAGAATTTTGTCAAAGTAGTTCTAGAAAGACGGTGTATATCAGTACAATGGTATATTCAAGAGACATTCCTGCTTTTTACTTCAATGGTGATGAATGTGGATATTTTGTCCTTTTCGTTCAAGGTGTTTGCTGCAGTGAAGATGTCTGCAATTTCCTTCAGATTTGATAACTCTGGATCAGGTAAGCTTGTCATTTCAGGCGACTGTCTGGCTGGAGGTGTAACTTCACTGTCATCATCTATGAACCATCTGTATTTTAGTCCTATCCAAACGGCCGCATAAAATCTCTTTCCGCTTACCTCCAGCTATGTTGGATCTACCGCCATCTTGGCCCTTGCCAATGCATTGCCTAGCAACAACAAAGTTAACATGACCATGTCCTCAAGCAACTCGGTATATCGTCTCATACCAAACCTCTTCACAGCCTGCTGGATCTTGGAAACTCAAGGCCAAATCACTCGAATCACTTTCTGTCCAAACGATCAGTGTATCTAATATAGTAGCGTGGTAAAAAAAGACAATGAATTGGAGCGCAAGATCATGAGGTGTATCGCAAGTACCTTGCTGTCTTTGATACAATCGACGTTTCTCCACGATGGAAGATAGTAAGATGCTGTCTTCTTTCTCTTCTGCATGCACAATCAATTGGTCAGGTTCTCCAACTCTGCCCTAATGTGAGTACATGTTGGTATTTGAAAGTTTCAGGGACGCGTTTAATTAAATAAATTACCACTTGATAGACGCAGAAGCCTGTTCCCTTATCCTCCCAGTTAGTATCTTGGTTGAGCTGATAGAGCTTGACTCGGTAAGCTGGTGGCGAGCCTTCCTGTTCAATTGGTGATGTTGGTTGCTTTTGTTTATTTTCTTCTGTCATGATATAGTTGAAAAAGGGCGTATATGCTGTTTGTTTGCAAGCAAATGATCTGTGTGTGTATATATATATATATATATATATTGGTAGTGGTGAAATGTATAATAAGAGGAAGTTTGGTTGTAACCGTTTTGTATCTACGTTTCCTCTGGGTTTTTGTTTAGTGAATTTTGATAAATAATAAGAAAGGTTTATCAATAAACAGACTCAAAACGACCCACTGACTAAAATGAAATCCTTCTATCCTGTCTAATCAGCAAGAAAAAGCTTTTCTTCCCCATTCCTTGAAGGTACTGTGATTGGGCCTCACAGTGAGTGACGTTTCTTCCCCATCATGGAGTAACCTTGGCAACCAAATGCCATCCGATATCCACATCAAATCATTTTTCATAAGCATTTCTAATCAAAAAAGTGCTGCTACATTTATATAGAAGCATTCTTCATTGCACTATAACCACTCCAGCAGTTTCTGGTGCCCATTTTGCAATCCATTCCATGCCTACCTTGAGTGAGACCTTTTTAGATCTCCCGAATCAAATCAAGCATGCCAGCGATCGACATTTGCTCTAAATGCCCCTAACATTGAAAGCAATTTAATTGAGAATATCAGCTACCATGTACCTTCTTTGAACAGCCCTTTTATCGATGGCATTAATGGTCTGTAGTGACGCATTATTTATGATGTATTACTACAGCATTTCAATGAGGATTTTGCAAAAAAAAAAGATTCAGGAGCGTTTCCCGAATTTAACAGGATAATACCGCATGTGGTGACAAATAGGAATGGACCAAAAAGCCGCAAAAATGGATCATTGATACCCAAAGCAAAGTGTTTATGATGAGAAAGTGGAAGAAAAGAAAAGAAAAGAAAAGATACTCGAAGAGTGCAGGACTATATGGTCGACATCATTCCCATAAAGAGTTGATTTCCATGAATGCCAACTTATGCCTTTCCTGTCTAAAGCTACAAAGCCTTATACTATCTTTTGAGGTTATTGATTTTGATAAGGTGCTCCATCATGGGCAAGTTGAGGGAAGCATAGGTATCTTTTTGGGCCATCAATCCTAAAGATGTTGAAATGCACTGTTGAATACATTTGAACAGTAATGTTGTGCTAGTTATCGTTGAATTATGATAATGATATGTCCGTCTACTATGTTCATCTTCAATCGTTACTGCTATTGCACTTTCATTGAGAACCTCAATCGCCAAGTAACTGCAGGTGATGAAGTTACCTTGTGGTCTAAATGTTTGTAAGGGAGAATCACGACGTTTCATGCATCTGGCTCTGTTGTTGGTTAGTTTGACATGATTATTAGCACTAGACGAGTTCAGGGGATACCTTGAACAAGAAATAGTAGGTTACTATAGGCTCTGATGCGTCCTTCTTCCATTGAACTGATGGACAGTATTTCATAGACATAAGGCATCGGTTTAATACATCTTTTATTCGGTATTGCCACTTCATTTTGTTGTCTTGAAAAGGCCAAATTTTTTTGCTCATGATTGATAGACTTTTATATAGTCCTGTAAAGTCGTTGGACTAATCAGTGCTTTCGAAAGAAGTGAATCAGAATCAATCAATTATGAATAGACGGGACACCAAACTTTTGTTTAGACCACGTTGATTTTCAAGCAAATGCACCACTGTGCGGATCAAATGACCTCGTGCGATGCATTGCAAACCCCAGTTCTGTCAAGCTGCCAGCACATTGCTAGAGACATGCATTGCAAAATCCCATAACCTTAGAGGCTTTTGTGTTTGGCAAACATGTTTATACTACACCATAAACATAGATGACCTTGTTTTATCACCGTACTCTTTGTTTGTAAACCCAACATTTCTTGAAACAGCGTCTTATCAAGAAGGACAGGGAAGGCATTGATGGCTCCCCTTATGGAGTATATCGTTTGTTTATTTGTAGTGGCCCCCTGAAAGCTATCGTTCTGATGTATCATCCATCTGATGTAGGGACACAAACAAGACGACGCACCTTTTTGCCGGGTTTTGCAACAAATGTTCAATTTGCCGCTGATGGTGCAAGCATGATTAAGAATGCAATAGATGGAAAAAGTCTGTTTAAACAATCGAGTTATATATAGAAAGAACATGGCGAGTGGTAAATGGTGCTGATAATGATGCGTTGTTGTACAGAATTAAGATTTGAAACAATTAAATCCTTTATATGGTTGTATTTACTCTGAATAGAGTTACCAGAAATTATTCAAAAATGACGGAAAAAAGGCAAATCAATGACATGTCTATAAAAGCAGGAAAAAATCAGCTCTCAGTGCCAAGCTATAAGCGCCTTTTTATCTTTCCTCCTCATCACTTACTACACAAAAATGTCTACAGTAAAAGGCATTGGAAGCTTTGGCAGCACTGCTCTATTAGTATCATCTATGACAGTAAGGTGTAAACTATCTGCAGGCAGGAGTGCAATTTTGACATGTTACATGTAGGGGCCTGGATTATCCACCATTCCAGCATTATTCCAACAAGTAGGTATAGCAGGCCATGCTTTATGATCAGCAATTAACGTTAGTGCAGTCTGGTTGGGCTGCTCCTGTGTTTATTTTTATCGTAGTCGCATTTCTATCTGGTTGCTCGGCTCTGTTCGTGTGCGAAGCATTGTCCAATATTCGAGGAAATGAAAAGTTTCAAGCCAAAGTCGAATTAACAACCATTGCACAAGTCTATTTGGGCACAAAATACCACTATTTCTTTCAACTGATGCTCTTTTTATCACTGCAATCTGTCAACATTGCTAGTATCATTATTGCAGCACAAGTAGGCCTTGCCTTGTTGTATCTCACAGAAGCACGCATTAATCACATCTCTAGACATTTGATAGTATGCTCATCACCATCTTCAAAGGCACATGTGGCCTAGGCGTCTATCCTGGCGGATGGTTTTGTGTTGCTGAATCAGCTGGCATTGACGGCAATTCGCCATTTCCTACAGACGATTACTTTATCTTTACATTTGGCTTTCTCCTTACTGCTGTGCTTGTGATTCCTTTGGGCTTCTTTAGTTTAGTAGAGAATATTGCTGTTCAGATGACATCCTTCATTGTATTAGCCGGGATCTTGATTCAATGGACTGTGGCATTTGCTCAAGAAGGCTTGGACCCATCGCGCCTACCAGCCAGCGGAAGCAACTCTACCATGGTGCTCGGCATAGTCATATTCAACTACAGCTTCATCACCACGGTAAAGTATCTTGATGGCCATGCTAAACCAAGCAATACTAATAATTTCTTTAGATTCCCTCATGGGTGAATAGCTTGAAGCCCAATGTCAACATTCATCGCTGCATGTGGGTATCCGTGATTATATCTACTATCTTTTATTTGTTGCTTGGTAAGCCATGTGAACTGAATCAAGCAGCCAATACTGATAATATGTATAAATATAGGCATTTGTGGTGCAATGGCATATCAAATGGATGCATCCAGTGACATTTTAGCAATTCTGAGTGCACATGGTAAATATCACTTTCCCGTTGTGTACGACAGCCTTTTGTTTATTAATATAGTGCATGTTTGTTTATAGGGTCTACTGCATCCAAGGTCACAGCCTATTTGTTTCCTGTGTGTGCCTTGATCACCTCCATTCCAGTCTTCACTATTGTCATCCGTTCCAACTTGCTTCGCGGCGAAATTTGCAGTTCATCATGGGCCATCTTTTGGTCCAATTTGTTTCCTTGGATTATCTGCATGTACGTAAAACCTATCAATACATCATAGTGCCATTGACTCATCTTATCCGTATAGCCCATTACAAACTAAAAACTGGGTAAACACCATTCAAAATTGGAGTAGTCTATTTTTCCAATCGGTAAGTAATGCCACCACTTGTCTGATTTGCTTGAATGGCACTAAATTTATATATATATATATAGACTTGTAACTTTATTTTGCCGTTCGTCTTGTACTTTGTATCTCGAAAGTACATTGCTTCCGTTGAGCCGATCAACGTAGACACAGGCGAGAAGCAAACCTATCAAAACGGCAAGCACTCTATCGTGTATCCACCATTAGCAGCACCATCGCCCATACTACAGAATCCCGATGACAATGACGTTCGTATGTTCAATCCTGATGACAATTATTCAATTTCAATTAGAAGATCAAGCATCAGACCATCTAAACACAGCCAAATGGAGGTGGCCACCTCTTCTGCCTACTCGCCAGTCATGGATAAAAGCGCTTTGCCCACCATTGTTTATAGCAGTGATATCGCGTCAGTAGCACCCAACGAAAGCATGTTCAGAAAACCACCCTCCAATGGTCTAGGAATCTCGCATCCTCCCTCAGATGCCTCCACCAAATTGGCTTTTCCAGCTAGTGCCCCCGCTTCTCCAAATCTCACAAAGCCAGAAAACTACAATTCTGGAACGTCAGTACCGTCCACACCTCGCATGGACAAGCTATCTGTTCCCGTGAACCCATCCTCACCGCGCTCCCCTGAAATAACTGCTGCTGCTACTCCTGTGACTCCTCAGTCGCCTATTCGGCCTATCCATTCGCACCATTCATCCATGTTGGCAAGCGTATTTTCATTCAGATCATCTGCTATTGCTCCAAATGACGACTTGGATGAAGATAAGAAACAAGGATTACAGGAAGAACATGTGGAATTAGATCGCTTCGTTGCCTTTAAGCCGAAAAAATGGCTCAATCCTTTCTATTTAGCCATCATTGCCTGCACTGCATTGTCTATTTCTATTTTATTCATGATCATTTACGATTTAACTTTGCTTGGCCTTGGTACTGATGTATTCGGCTAAATCCTGTATATACACAATATGCATACCCATTACTTGTATTCGTATAAATATCCATCTCTTTTTATCTATATATATATATATATGCACCTTTTGCAACCCCCTTGTATGGCCTCCAAATAAACATTTATAAATAACTCCTTGTTGTTTCATCATGGCACGGTGTCTGATTTGACCTAGACTTGAAACATTCTAAACTTGGAATATTGATCTTTCCCTTAACTTACAGCTAGATGCGAGCACACTGCCAAGCGAGAATTAAAGCTACTGCTTTATTACATTTTGCAAAGTCGCCTGATTGGTGTTGTTGATGTGAAGCATCTCTTCTTTAATCGGATATATTTCAGTTGATGCTGTAGTATAATTTTTACTGGATGCAGACTCTCTATTACGTCCTAAAATGACCAGCTTGCCATCATCTCGCTAATAAGCTGTATCATTGTGCTATAATACAGCGATACAACAGTGCCATTCATCCTAATATTTCCAGTTGAACATTTGAATGAACAGCATGCTTTGAATCTAGATGAATGCATACAATGTCTTTATGCCTTTGTATCGTAACAAAAACGTGTATATTGGCAAGCAAATGTATGCAACGCAGCCAAATTCGATAACTTTCAAGCTTTAATATCTTGACATGTAGACCTTTCTGAGCCACTGGCATGACTCTAAACGATTGTACTCGAGTAGCAATAACTTCCAGACACCTTTGCTCAACTTTTTGAGGACCCCAAAAAACATGGCCAAAAATCGACCAAAAAGCATGAGGTACCCCTCATAGTTTTTTTCAAAAATCAAACGATCGCGTTTTTCACCTTGAAAATGAAAGCTTTCATTATGGTATGTATTGAGTCAAAATGCTTCTCTCGATCCAAAGCAACCCCTGAAACTTTATTTGTGTCACTTTCATATGCAAAATCTCAACATTTTGGCCAAAAACCTCATTTTATATTTTAGCAAATTGCTCAATAATTTTAGTTGAAAAATTTATTGCAACTAACGCCATTAGAAGCGCCTTGAAAAGTACTCCAAGAATGTATTAGGAAGCACGGGCTGATTATCACAACTTACATAGTCGAATCTCAGAAAATAGTTCAATCGAGTCGAAAAAAGCCAAAGTTTGGCCAATCCTGAGCAGAAAGCTATGCTGGGTTTGAATTAATTTTGACGCTGCTGGCTAACCCAAATGCTTTTCTGATCAGAATAATGCTGACTTTTGTTGGGCATTTTCATATCTGACAACGCCAGTCAGCCAGGCTCACCATTAAGATATATATAATCACAACTTTCTAATCATGACTTGCAGCATTTCAACATGGTATGTATGCAGTATGGGTTTCATGATTCGTTTAAAAAAGACTGTTACCACTGACTGACAACTATTTCTGTATGTTATGAGGATGTCTTAAAGCTTGTATCAGCATATTCATTGGAAATAATGGCTGCAATTTCGTTGACAGTTGACAGATTCTGAGTGCGTTTATCTTCGCCAATAGTTAGCTCCAACCTCATTTGATGGTTGAGTCGAATGCGAGTATCCTCGTTGTTGGTATGATTTCAGGCTTGTCGTTCTTCTTCTTCATTCAGAATCTCATGAACATGTATGTAGATACGAACAAAGGTTTTTTGAGCCTTGTCCAGTGTACTCAATCTTAAATAGCTGCCTAATATTGGCAAGCAGTATCTCCATATCATAACATAATAAATTATAGTCCCTAGACAATTTTACAACCCTGCTAATATGGAAACTGAGTTGCTTGACATCTGTCAGGCCGGGCTCATATGAGAATAATGATTTTACAATCAATCAACAAAAACCACTGTTAGTTTTACCCTCATTCCTCTGCTCAATGCTATCAGTGTTTTATTTGAACGACGTCTCAGAGCCTCAGAGATTTCACTCCTTACTGCAGACATCTTACGCAGCCCATGAATCGTCAATGTCCAGACTAACATCATTAAATATAGAATGCAAGACGATGTCATTATGAACGATATAGAATGAAATAAAATATTATTATAAATAATAGTGTCATGGTCTGCCACCTACTTTTTATACGCTTCAAGAGCATTTACTACTGTATTGCAGTATGAAAAGGGCATTGAGTTTGCCAGCTGGCCCCCACCAGCCAAAATTTATTCAAACCCAGTCTTACAGTCTGTTCCAGATTGGACAAATTTTGATGATTTTGAACTCGATTGAATTATTTTTGCAGATTCGACTAAGTGAAGTATAATGATCACCCCATGCTTCCTTAAGCTTTCCTGGAGTACTTTTCAAGGTGCATCCAATGGTACTAAGTAAAATAGATGATTTGAATAAACTTGTCAAAAGATTTATGAAAATATGAAAAGAGGTTTCTGGCCAAAATGTTGAAATTTTACATATCAAAGTCCCACAAAGATGATTTCAGAGGTTGCTTTGGATCGATAGAAACATTTTGATTCAAGATATACCATAGTAAAAGTCTCCATTTTCAAGGTGAAAAACGCGATCGTTTGATTTTCGATGAAAACCATGAAGGGTACCTCATGCTTTTTGGTCAAATTTTGGCCCTATTTTTTTTTGGTCCCAAAAAGTTGAGCAAAGGTGCCAGGAAGTTACTATTACTCAAGTACAATTGTTTGGCGTCATTTCAGTGGCTCATAAAGTTCTGCATGTCAAGATATGAAGGCTTGAAAGCTGTCAAATTTGGCTGTGTTGCACACATTGGCTTGCCAATAAACGCGTTTTTGTTACGATACAAAGGTATAAAGATATTGTATGCATTGATCTAGATTCAGAGCATGTTATTACATCCAAAGATTCAGCTGGAAATATTTGGCTGAGTGGTACTGTGGTATGGTTGTATCATAGCATAACAATACAGCTTATGAGTGAGATGATGGCGGTTGTAGGGAAGCTGATCATTTTAGACGCAATAGATAGTAAAAAGTATACTATAAAATCCATTGAAATATAGGTGATCCATAGCTTGGTAGCTTGAATTCCTAGGTGGTCCGTATTATATCCCATAATAAATGAAAGACTAGAGTTGCATTGTATAGTAATGTGCCGAGCGCAAACTAAAAATCATCATCATCCGGATTTCGTGCCTGAAACGATCATTTATATTTTCACTGCATCTTCTCATCTGCTGAAGCATACTTGCAATTGATAAATCAAACTCATCATATTGAAATTTACATTTTATTGATCCTTTTTTTTTTGCAGTTAATCAATGCGTTTTGACTTTCTTGATCTCAGTTCCGGTGATTTTGCTGTAGATGTGGATGCAGCTTTTTTGGTAGTGTCATTTGAGACGGCTGCTTGCTGTTGTAAGACTTCTGATTCTGCTTCCTTTTCTTCAGATCCTCTACTACTCAACATGACGGGCAAACTTATGGCAAAGATCAAGAATCCAGTAAGCACGCCAATCAGTGTCCATGGTGAATAAGCCGATAACTTTTTCACGACCTTGCCGGTATATCCCACCATTTTTCCGCTGGTATGATTTCATCAGTGACATGGTCCAGCACAATTGCTTCAAATACTTACAATAAACTAAAGGGAGAAATCAAACCAGACTTGGGCTCCACATCACGCCATTCCTCCATAGTGACAAATGAGATGATGTCGTTTTCTCTTTGAGTAGGCTTGAGGCTACGTACTAGCAAAAGGATATTGAATTACAATATGTCGAAATGCCAGGCTCATCTCTACCTTACCTTCATGATTTTTAATGTGAACAATCGTAGGTAAACGCGAAACAAAGAATCGCGCAGCCAAACCAGGATTTGTTTCCACATTAATAGCACCGACCTTGACATGAGAATGGCTACTCTTGGAGAGCATGCGCTCTGCAGCTTGGTATTTAGGTTCCAAACGCTTACAATAGCCACACCAGTCAGCATAGCTATCCCATGCGAATGAGTTGTCTGCTTCAAGAGTATCTGCATTAGTGTCAACTTACAAATCAATCAGCCATTCATCGTCTTTGCCAACGAGATCTGTGAAATTTTCGTCTGTAATCTGAACAACAGCAGCTTTACAACATGCCAAGCATGCAAGGATAACTGCACACAGTAAGCCAAGGTACTTCATTTGTTGAATTCAAAAGGGAAAGAAGCATCCATCATGTTGTTTCAAAGCATTTGAATTTCGTGACATGCGTTTGAGCTTCAAAACACAAGGAAAGAGCTGTACAGCCCATTAAACACCTTTCTTTCTTCACCGCAATTAAAGCAAACATGAACTCAAAAGCAGATTTGAAAGCTGCAAGAGAAGCCATTGGAAAGAAAGATTTCGGTGAAGCCGTGAAGGCTTGCAAACGAGTCTTGCTGTGGGAAGGCGAAAACTACAACGCGTATGTATGCCATGTTGCAACCATCATGTTTTACAGAATGACAAGCTGACAAGATGGCCTGTAGTTGGGTTTTCTTGGGCGTCGCATATACTGGATTAGAGAATGACGGGGAAGCGGAAGAAGCATACAAACGAGCTATCGAGATCAATTCAGAGAACATGCTCGGCTGGCAAGGTCTTGTCAGTTTCTATGAAAAGCGAAACAAACTAGAACCGTTGGCAAAGACCATTGTCTTGCTGATCCCTCGTGTGGTTGAAAGGTGAGTTTCATGCAGCTCTGGAAACCGATAGCGACGACTCAATTTGACATGACAGCGGTGATGGTGCCAAGCTAGCAGACTATCTCAAAAAGCTACTCCATGTCTATAAACAACAAAACGATCAAGACAACTATCTCGAGACACTGAAAGAGTTTCTACCTCAAAGTCCCCATTACAAGTTGATCAAAGATCAGCCCAACTTACCCTCTCAGATAGAGATTTGGAAGACAATCATTGCAAAAGCAGAGAAAGAGCAGAATCAAAAGATTGAAAGCGAAGTGGCGTCTCGACGATTCAGAGTGAGCGCAGGAACGCCTGCTCAAGTGCTGGCTGGCGTGGAAGCAGATGTGTTTGGTTTATCGAAATTGGGAGACATGTACGAGAACGTGCTGGATTTAGTGCCTCAAGACGATGCAGAGGAGCAACACGTTTTTAAGTTGAAATTGTTGCACTTTTACTCCAAGAGATTACTGGGAGTCAAAGACAAGGCAGAGGTATGTGGGGGTGTGGGTTTGCATTGGAGGAGCATTTTCACTAATGGGGCTGTGTTTGGTAGCTGTATGAAAAGGTGATCACTCTGGCAAAGGAGCTAGTGGATATGAATGATCCATTGCCTCTCCAGATTTTGATCGAGTCTGCCAATGTCGAATCACCAGGTAATATGTCGCAGCAATTGAGTAACTATTAACAACAAAAGTGCTTATTCAAATCCACCATACATAGACAGATACGACTGGACATTATTAGAACAATTGATGGAGCGATTCCCTGAACATGGATTATCCAAATTGGCACGAGGCTATCAACTGAGCAAACAAGGCGATATCGATGGAGCATTCGACTTGTTCAGCGAAGGATTAGATGCATGTCCCAACAGCTTATTTGGCTATCAATGCTTGAGTTGGATCTACTACGAGTCAAAGGAATACGAAACTGGCTTGGAATATGCTACACGTGGAAAAGATCTTGTCAAGAAAATCAAGGTGGAAACCGGCATATCAAAGAGCAATGCATTAGTGTCATTGGAGATTTGCATGGCCCACTGTTATCGCTTATTGGATAAAAAATACCACATGGATGCCATGGCACTGTACAAATCCGTCTTGCAACACTACCCAGATCAAACAAAGGCAATGGAGGGCATGGGATTGATCTTGATTGAAGAGAAGCGATTGGATGAAGCGCTGGATAACTTTGAAAAGGTGCAACAATTGGACCCCAAAAATCACACGTCTGTTGCAGAATTGGGTTGGATTTATTGCGAAAAGAAAGACTACCAAAAGGCCATTGACTACATCAACAAGGCTCTGGAGATTGCAGGCACCGACGTGGCGGATTACTATTATCGATTGGGCCGCATTCATTGGTCAATGCAAGGTAGCAATGGAAAGCGGCATGTATAGCGAGAGTGCGAGTGACTCATCGAGTAACATAGATTCTGACAATGCCTTCAAGTATTTCATGCAAGCGGTTAAATTGGATCCCTATTTTGCTAGTGGTTTTACATATTTGGGTCACTACTATCGAGAGATCAAAAAGGACGGCATCCGTGCCAAAAAGTGCTATCAAAAGGCGTACATTTTGAACCCATTGGACATAGATGCAGCTTTGTGCCTTTCCGATTTCATGATTGCCGAGAACCAGCAAGAAGAAGCCGAAGCCATCTTTCGTCAAGTCTCTGAATCAAGTCCAAAAACTGGCTGGGCCTGGAGGCGTCTTGGTTACGTCAATATGGTAAGCCGGGATAGACAATGCGTGCCATGCAAGCAAACATGCTCACATCCAGATGCAATAGAATTCTCAATCTTACAATGAAGCCATTATCTGTTTCCAGAAGGCATTGCGTGCAGATACAAGTGATGTCAGATGCTGGGAAGGTCTTGCCGAGGCGTATTCAAGAGCGGGTCGATTTGTTGCTGCCCTGAAAGCATTTGGTCGTGCAACTCAATTAGATCCTCAATCCGTGCATGCTCACAATGAGCAATCTTACGTCCAGCAAAAGGTGGGGCTACTAGATGATGCGATTGCTGGCTTTCAGAATACCTTGGCGATTGCTGCTGAACAGCACAAACCCAATTACATTCCTGCCTTGGCAGGTTTGGCTGAGACGTATCTGGAACATGCCAAGGAGGATTTCCAAGCAGGCTTCTTTGGCCGTGCTTCCGATGGCTGCAATCGTGTGTTTGAAACTGCTCTTCGTGGCCTGCAAGTGGATTCTACCATGCTGTCTTTTTGGAAACTGGTTGGTGATGCTTGTGCATTCTACCGTCATATACCCAGCTATCTCAACAACTGTGCCTATAGTCAGCTCCAAGCTGTGATGCAACTGATCAGTACGAAAAGCACCCATGATGTGTTGAAACTGGAACCAGATACCACAAGCCATTGGATGACTGAATTCTTGGCCTTGCAAGACGTTGATGATGATTTCAGTCTGCCACAGAAAACGGCCCTGGATGTCATTCTCTCATGTGCCTCTTACGCCTACAAACAAGTGATTGTATTATGCAAGAACCATCAAGCTATTGCACCTGCGTTCTGGCATGATTTGGCTATTATTTACTATCACTTGAGCCTTAACAATAACAACAAGCAGGAAGAAGCCATGATGGCAGTCAAATGCGCCCAGGTAGCTTTGAAATTGGAACCCTCACAGTACATGTATTGGAATACGCTTGGTGTGATTGCAATGACAGTGGCTGATATACCTAAAATGGCACAATACGCATTCGTCAAGGCCATGGAGTTCAATAATAGAAGTGCAATCCCATGGACAAACTACGGTTTCCTGTGCTTGTCCCTGAAAGACTACGAATTGGCAAATCAGTCATTTGAGATGGCCCATTCACTTGACCCCGAGTGGATCTCTGCTTGGGTAGGACAAGCCTATGTTGCCTCACTATGGGGTACTGATGCAGCAGCCATTTTTGAACATGCATTCGAGTCCAGCAATGGATCAGCGATGGAGGCCAGTTACGGTTACGCAGACACAGTGTATCATGCACTCTCCTCTGGACAGTTGAACGAGGAAACAGCAGCCATTACGCCCGTATTTGCATTGGAGAAATTGACCGAGAAGCGACTGAATGATGCGCTTTCCTTCAATCTGATGGGCTTGCTCTTGGAGAGATTGGGCCAATATGGCAGAGCATCCGAATCATTTGCATCAGCCATTTTAGCACTGGAGGCGCAAATTGAAGAAGAAAAGATCAGCCAAGAAGAAGGAATGGCACGTCTTGCCAAGGTGCATGCTAATTTGGGCCGTACATTATGCGCAAGTGGTGATTTTGAAGAAGCTATTTCGTCTTGCACAGTGACAGATGCATCCAGTGTGTATTCTCACTTGAACGCGGGCATTGCTTACTACTTTATGGACAAACTCCCTGAATCACTCAACATGTTTGAACTAGCCCTGAATGCCACGCAGGAGGACATCTCATTACGTCAAGACGTGGTCGTCTTGCTGAGCAAAGTGCTGTGGGCTTTAGGAGGTGATGAGCAGAGAACAGTAGCCAAAGATCAGCTCTTTTCCAGGTAAGTTACAGGTTGTGTGTAGGCAAATAGGCAAAATGATGCTAATTTTAGAATGGCTTAATAGTATCACTGATAACCCAAATTATCTGCCTGCAATCTTCTCACTGTGTGTCATGGGCATGCTACAAGATGATGAAACATTAACAGCAGCCGCATTACAGGAATTGGCTAAAGTGTCCATTTCCATTGCATGTAAGTTCCGTCTCGAGTTGTACCTGTAATTCATGACTCAAAGCCTCCCTGGATTAGATGACTCAGATAAGGAACAGCACATCTCGTGGTTATTTTACAAATTTCATCAATTACAGGTAACAATAACATCCATTACATTATCACGTGTCTCTAACGCAACTACTGCTTTGTAAAATGACGTAGGGAGACAGACTACAAGCAACTCGTGCCTTGGTGAAAACTGTTCATCAAACCCCTTGGTTGGCATTGGTGTGGGCCCGTTTAAGCAGACATCTTGTGAAATTAAATGATCCCAAAATGAATACAATGACATCAAGCACACTCGTTATTAACAAGCAAAAATCACATACAGCAGACTCATTATCTGAAGCATACCAATACGCTGCCATCTGTACCAAGGACAGAAAGCTTGCCCAGAAAGCTGTTCTGACAGCACCTTGGCGTTTAAGCGCATGGAAAACTCTTTAAAATAAACTTTCAGGTGTGATTAAAAAATGTTGTCATTGAAAATATATTTAGACGTGGTGAAATGACGTTTTTTGTCCAACCAAAGTTCAATAGAAAACAATAAGAAATTCTGCAACTATAAAAGGAGGCATTTTGATTTCTTTTTCTTTCCTCATTCTCATCAATTCCTACCAATTTAAAAAATGGCCTTTACCTGTTCTGATATCTTTAAAATCTTCTTTGGTAAGTTGGCATTTGCATGGATGCATCAATGAGGCTGGTTTGTGTATCTGTGCTGACTATCCACAAAAGCTGTCATCCTTCCTCCTCTTGGTGTCTTTCTCGAAAGAGGTTGTGTCTGTGATTTGTGCATCAACATTGCCTTGACTTGTCTTGGCTACATTCCTGGTATCGGTAAGTATTCTAGCGGAAAACAGAGGAATGGGCGGTTGTGCTAATAGCAATTTCAAACTAGTCCATGCCCTTTACATTATTCTGAAATATTAGCGAGTACGACGCATCGACGAAATAACCCACTCTTAACAACACATTGTACAAAGTCATTCCTCTCTCTCTCTCTCTCTTAATTGTATAAATAAACAATCAATCACACTTTATTCAAGACAGTCGGGTTGCTCTTTGATAATCATGTTGTACATGGGTTGGAATTGGGCATAACCAGCCTTGGGATCGCCAATAGTATGGTACGTCTGTCTGGCGACATCATCTGCAATCAAAGTGAGGCCCTTGTAGCCATTGGGATGAGCTGCTTCAGCCATCAATTGAGAGTGGCATGATCTTTCCATGGAAATAAAGGCCCAAATTGCCTCATCGATGGTTTTACCTGTCGTCAATAAACCGTGGTTTTGCAAGATGAGTGATTTGTTGGTGGAGCCCAGTGCCTTGACTAATCGTTGGCCTTCTTCTTGATCAAACACAACACCTCCAAAGTCTTCGTAGACGCCATGAGACTCGAAAAACGCACAAGCGTCTTGAGAAATGGGCAACAATTTACGTCCAAAGGTGGAGAAGGTTCTGCCGTAAATGGAATGGGTATGGACAGCGCAAGTAACATCAGGTCTAGCTTCATGAACAGCTGCATGAATGACAAAGGCTGCCTTGTTGACCGTATATTGACCACGTACGATTGCACCAGAATGATCCACAAGAATCAAATCGCTCGCCTTGATATGACCAAAGTATTGTCCAAATGCATTCACCCAAAAGAGATCAGGATGTTCAGGGTCACGGAATGTCATATGGCCTGCTACACCTTCATCCCACCCAAACTTGGCTAATAATCGGAATCCAGCGGCTAATTTTTGTTTCATGTGGACTCTTTGAGCATGAACATCTTTGAATGTCGGCATGGATGGAATAATCACTGCTTGCTTCTCGGCTGCTCTGGCTTCTTCTTCTGTTTCTGATCCGGTCAAGATGATCTTCTTTTTCGAACGAAGGAAAATAGAGCTTTTACGGTGCATCTCCAGATTCAAGTCATCTTGTTCTTGCTTATTTTCAGTGCTATGTAATCATCAGTTGACTAGCAAGGTAAAGTAATTGATTTGTCCTTGGCCTACTTACATGGGAGGTGACATTTTATCTGATATTCAAGTTGAATGAAGAAAGACACAAAGTACTCAAAACAAGATATTTATATCCGAAAGAAAGAGCTCCTTTAACGTTACACCGTGTGAACGCTGTATTCAGGACTTGTACATTGATTCCATCTGTATAAAAAAAAAGCAAGCTTCTGTCATCATCCATTTTTTTTTTTTATTCCTCGATTCTCGATATTTCAAGATTTGCAATCATTTATATGCATCATTACAGCACCTAAAGCAAAGATGTTGTGTCTTATTGCAATGTATGACATGTATGATCAGTTGCATAAGGGTTTGTTACTACACTACACAGCTCACTTGTTCACACGATGCTTGCAAAAATTCTCTCATACAGCTCAATCGATTATTCAGCATAAACTCTGTATGTTGATACAGGCTTTTCACTCTGAGCCTGCCTCATACAGCTGCTCTGAATAGCGGCCCCATTTAAAACTACTAGCACTAGACAAACTTGAGAGCTAAAGATAATGCAACTTTGTTGTTGAATCACAAGCATAAAAGTTCTAGCAAACTTTCTTCATATACAAAGCACATAGCTGCGGGATATTGTCATGAATTGATGTCTTTCTGTCCTGTAATAGACTTTGTTCATCAAGAGGAACACTGATCCCGCAATGTGGCGCTTTCACTTTTTCTCTTAATGATCTAGACGACGTGCTCCTTTCCAAATGCATCGTTTATTCCCCATTTGGCACAAGCGCAGTATATGTGTAATACTTACTATCGACACAGGCCTTGAAAACAACAATGGTTTAGCCTAAACGTCAAATCATGTAAATCATAAATGGTACATACAGTCAGAGTGCGTAGAAAACATATGTGTAGTACATATATTGTGAGTATGAAGTCTTGTTGTGGGAAACGCATTAAAATCAGGGAAACTGTTTGAAAATGTACAGGGATATACGATTAGCATCAATCTCTATCAACTGACGCTTACCACCTAGACACAACAAGTGTAATTGCAAACGGTTTATGAGCTGCAGCAACATGTGCATACCTCAGATTATTTTGCCACTATTAGAAAACTATATATCAAGCCCTGTATACGTCAACGGCAATATTACCAAGTCTTTACACCTTAGGTGCACTATTCTATATGCATTAAATATTCTTTTGACATCGAAAACCCTCAAATAGTAATTTAAATCAGATGTCCTATCTACACAGCTATATAAATCAGAAAATTTCTACAAATATCAGTGAATTCAAATAGAAAAGAGCAAGCTTTTCTACTCGAACACTTATAAGCATCATCATAACTATGATGGATGCAGATCAACAACAGTGACGGATCTAGTATTTCAGTAAAGTCTATCAAGTAAGAGTGGATTGTAAGTTGTAGTATATATAAAACCTCGTCAAGTAATACCACTGAATGATTTTTATTTCCTTGCAATACTTACTATATCATACACAATGTAAACATTACCATAAAGCAAGTAGTTTTATAGGCGTCACTATAGTGAAGTAAATACCACTCATAGTATCGAATATACAAAGGACATTGACAATGTATTTCCCTGTCTGCCAAAATATCATCTCAAACCTGATAATAATGATACTACAATCACGGAATCACATATACATATTATAGTTCGCTTTCCAACCCATTTTGTACATCTTGTCAAGCAGCTTCACTATAAACAGTTTGCTTAATTATATTTTACTAAAGCTTAAGGCTTTATGCAATAAATTCCAGGAACAGCTCAAGACTTATACCGTGATGACACCTTGCTCTTGTCCTAAATACGACCCTCATCTAAAATAAACTTAAACAGGCAATTTCGAGGTTAGAAAATTTCAAAGCCCTACTTCGGAGTTTTCAATTTTGAAGCCCCGCTATTGCCCTCGAAACGATGGTGTAGGATAAAAAGTAAGGGTGAGTCCAGATAATAGATAGACCGTGGGGGGTACGGGGCGTAGGTAGGGGTAGGATGGATATGGTGTAGCTAGCAATGGGTGGATAGATTACATTGCATTATATGTACATCCCCGACAGGGCAGAGCAGTAAAAGTTTTTGACATGTAGGATCAGGCACTTCATTTTGTTCATTTACCTTATTATATTTCTTCAATACTTTAAGCAGCATGGACAACTCAAGTTATGAAATGGAATATGATTTCTTCAATCAATTTCCTGACGAAACCGTTGAAGAAGTCCTTCCCGCTGTATTTGACCGCACCACCAATACATTCAGAATCAAAAGATTAAATATTGGATGGGCCTTGAAAAAAAGCCACAGCAAAGCTTACAACAAGTACAAACCAGTTGAAAAACTCGCTGAAGGTGAGAGCCTTTACGACAGAAAAATTCACAAAAAGTGCGCTGGTGCTTTGCGATGTCTCAGTCTGCAATGCAAAAGACCTGAATGGGTCAAGGATCAAAGACCTCCTGTTGACTGGAAAGACGAGCTTGGCTGCCTCAAAAAGTTTCAATGCCCATACTGTGAGGCGCCATTGAAGCGGATCGACTGTGGTGTTGGTGCAACTTTCACCTTCCGTGTAACTGATATTCGCAGAGAAGACAGAGGCAATACAGTTATAATGTATCAAGAGATAACCGAGAAAAACACACACACACACACACTCTCTCTCTCTACAACTCGCTTCATCTTGATAGACACGAAAAAAAAGAGTTAAATAATATGGTGAAAGATAGTAGACCAAACATCACTGCTGCTGCTGCCATTGCTGGCATCGATCCATCTACTGGCGCCATCGTGAAAAGCGTCAGAGAAATCAACAGTGTAATGGCAAATCATGGACGCACCAAGTATGAGATCCGGAAGTCGAAGATCCAACAAGATCTATACTCTACCAAGGGAGATGATGTGGTAGCTGCCTTTGAAGATCTTGATGAGAAGTATCCAGGCTTCATGGATTCAGCACGGATTGTCCCTAGCAAGTTTTTTGTGAGCTTCTGTTCACCTGAAATGCTTCAGCGTAATCTCCCTTTCGCAGATCAACCGATCATAACAAATGTCACTTTCAAGGCTGTCCCAAAGGGCTATTATCTATGCTCAAGTGTCATCTATATCGAGCAACTCCGGAAGCATGTCGTCTTTTATCAAGCGATAATCGAAAGCAACACTACACATGTTTTCAAAGAATACTTTGTTGTTGCTTTGTTTAGAAAATTTGATTTCAAACTGGAGAAGTTTTTGGGAGTCATTATGGACTTTTCAGCCGCCCAACGCGAAGGTTTGTTTCATACTAGCCCTCAGGGATAACTTTGGTGTCAAGCAGCACAATGCATTACCTTTTTTAAAAGGGTGCTATATGCATTGGATGCGATCAGTCAAGCGCATGTCCAACAACCACCAAGTTGTCAAGCCAGATGAGATTGATACCTTCTTGAAGCTAGTCCATCGGTTCTGTACCATAAGAAACAGTATCGAATTCTTTCGAACTGGTAAGGAGCTTTTGACCTTCTTTCCCAACTGTAAAAAGTGGTTACAGTGGTGGCTCCAACCTGGTGTCTTCAGTATGGTATTCAGATGCAAGTCTTTGATGAAGGACGACTTGAGACAACACAAGAGCCGCACATCCAATGCAATTGAGGCGTTCCATAGTACCTTATACAAGTTGATGCCAGAAAAAAGACAACCCGTTTCGACAAGCTTAAGACTTTTTTTGTTGTAGGTCGCCAAGCGTGATGGAATGATGTTGATGGATTTTTATGGCAATAATATCCGACCGCATTACGGAAACAAACCCAAGAAGCCAACAAAAAAGTATGCAACTCTGTATGAAATTAATGACGGCCGTGCGCCAGATAACAACACTGCACTCTTTGGCACCAAGAAGAGAAAACAAGAAGTGGTGCTCATTAGCGATGCTGAGGAGGATGGCAAACGCAAGGCCAAGAAAGCAAAAACCCGTGATGTTAGTTTGGATGCTGCCATAATTGAGCATCTGGATGAAACTGACGAAATGGAGAGGAACTGTCCCAAGACGGATGATTTCCGAGATGATGATATCAGTGATGAGAAACTGTTCCTTGAACTACTCTCAGACGACGAATACAAAAGCGATAAAGCAGAAAATGTATTTGATAGAACTGAAGACCTAGATGAAGACATTAAAAATATGTTTGATGGTAAGTATACTTACAATAGTTTCTAATTGCTGTGGCTGTAACGTATCATTGATATTTTAGACCTTGGAATTCCTGTTTAAGATGTTGTCGGCTCAGATGAAGAATCGAAATCGTCCGTTATTGATCTTGTATCATCTTCCTCTTCTTCTTCTTCTTCTTCTTCTTCTTCTTCTTCTGGGGAATACATCCACTATGATCTGCATTCCGACAGTTCATCCAGTTACTAGATTTAGATATAAACTGTATGTACGCTGGATTAGATGTACGATATCGATTTATACTATAAGAAGATATGGACTTCAGATACGCTAGTACTATAAGATTCATACTATATAAGATATAGGCTATAGATGGCACCACGGACATGGATGGCACTATAGACTTATACTTGTATTCCGACATTGACTACGGATGTTTACCATATCTGGATAGGCACCAAGATTAATGCAATATGAGCTTGTTGCTTCAGATGTGCACTTTATGATCCACGCTATAAGACACATGCTTATATCCGTGATACTAGCTACAGATACTTTATGTACTACAGACTTGTACTATATATGAGACATGCTATAGACATGCATACGATATGCTACAGACATGCCATATATCCAGATACATGCTAAAGATGTATGCTTAGCGATATACACTCAGATATGTACTATTAATATAGACTAAGAAGACTGTACCTATCGGATACATGCTACTAGATCGATATTAATTATCCTTATGGAAAGGATAGATCAGGGTACTTCGGATGAGAGTCTAATTATTCATCCAGACAGAGCTAAATCATGATTAGCTTGCTGGAGTTGTCTTTTAGCATGATTAGACATTAGTTGATCTGAGTTGACTTATTTGTCAATCTAATTAATAGAACTTTTATCCATTGTTATAGTATATAAGAAGGATCATCTACCTGGCCAGTAGAGAGACTTCAGTTTACTTTACACCTGTCAGTTTGATAATAAAATACACTATTTTCAGAAATTATTGGGACATTTTTAAAAAAAATTGGTACTAATTCTGAATAAATATTGGGTCAATTTATAATTAGATTTGGGACAAATCTTGAACTATTTTGGAACACTTGCCTAATTAATATTGGGACACATATAAAAAAAACATTGAGACATTTTCAGAGAAAGTAAAATTCATTTATTACAATGGCTCTTTCGCCAAACAAACATCGAATTTCTTAACAGAGTAGCGAGCAGAACCTTCAAGATCACTGTACAATACATCATTGCATGCATCGGTAATCCTGGTCGAAAGTGTTTCAGTTTTTAAGAGCCTCTCCCTCTTGAGTTTACTCTTGACCACATGCCAGAATTGCTCAATAGGATTAAGCTCAGGGGAGTATGGTGGGAGGTAAACACATCTGTAACCTCGCTGAATGATATACCTCTCAATATCCTTGGCTGTATGGATGGGTGCATTGTCCATAACAAGATAAAAATCTTTGAATTGCTCATGCTGGTCCATGATATCAATCGTTTTCGCAATAAAGTTAAAGTAGTGGCCAGTTACAGTACCCACAGTTGTTGTTGCTTTTCCAGAAGAAGTGCCAGCTAACTTTCTTTTCTTGTTGGATGTTCCAGGCAACCTCACTTGAACATTCAACACTCCCCATACGCTAGTTGCGCCAATAATAGTGGTAGTTTTCGCTCTTGTTTGAGGTACAGGCACTTCAGCTCGAGTTCCTTTCTCTGACCAAGCCATTGTTCGCTTCAAGTTAATATGGAAAGCTGACTCATCAATGAAAACACAGTTGGACATGTAATCCATGTCGGTTTGGCTCCATTTGACTACCCAGTCGTACCGGTTTTGAATGTTTTCAGGCGAGTTTCTTTCTTTGGAATGGAAATGAGCTTTCTTGAAAGTCAAGGCAAGATCATTGGTCATGTAGTTGTAAATAGTCGTTTGGCTGATAGTCAAACCCGAGAAAGCCCTAACAAGACTCTCATGAGCTTGTTCGATTGTTACTGATGGATTATCTTCAAATTCTAGTTTTAGGTGCTTCGTATGGTCTTCGTTCAAAATCTTTGGTCGACCTGCTCTCTTAACTGGCTCTTCATCGTCCTCAATTTCTTTGTTAACCTTTTTTTGATCCTCTGCGTACCATCTGTAAGCGGTTGTTCTTGATATATGGCCGTGCGCTTTCCAAGCTTGATTAGGATTCATGCCATGGTCGTAGATAAGGATAAAAAATCTTGCCTTGTCTTTGTCTGTGTAGCTGTTATATTCAGTCTTGGGCACATTTTTCTTATTTTTAATCTTTTTCTCTTTTAGTACGGTCAATTCTCTTTCAGGTGGCTTCCTATCAACATAAGTATTGTAGTTGGTAATGTTACCGAGAGGGAAGGCTTCGTTGTCTACATCCATCTCAACAGCTTCGTTTCCATGCCCATCGACTGGAGCATTTATTCCGTCTTCGTAGTAAATTCTGATATCTGACATGTTATGAATAACGAAGAAAGCGACTATGATTTCATCTCAAATCCCATTTAGTTTTGTCTCATTATAATTTCGAAAAGTGTCCCAATATTAATTAGGCAAGTGTTCCAAAATAGTTCAAGATTTGTCCCAAATTTAATTATAAATTGACCCAATATTTATTCAGAATTAGTACCAATTTTTTTTAAAAATGTCCCAATAATTTCTGAAAATAGTGTATACCTTTATCAAGTTGTCATTACTGTTTTTTTTATTCTTTTTTTTCCGTGAATTTTAGTCTATCAAACCTCAAATTCCACACTTACGTTGATAGGAAGCCACCTGAAAGAGAATTGACCGCACTAAAAGAGAAAAAGATTAAAAATAAGAAAAATGTGCCCAAGACTGAATATAACAGCTACACAGACAAAGACAAGGCAAGATTTTTTATCCTTATCTACGACCATGGCATGAATCCTAATCAAGCTTGGAAAGCGCACGGCCATATATCAAGAACAACTGCTTACAGATGGTACGCAGAGGATCTAAAAAAGGTTAACAAAGAAATTGAGGACGATGAAGAGCCAGTTAAGAGAGCAGGTCGACCAAAGATTTTGAACGAAGACCATACGAAGCACCTAAAACTAGAATTTAAAGATAATCCATCAGTAACAATCGAACAAGCTCATGAGAGTCTTGTTAAGGCTTTCTCGGGTTTGACTATCAGCCAAACGACTATTTACAACTACATGACCAATGATCTTGCCTTGACTTTCAAGAAAGCTCATTTCCATTCCAAAGAAAGAGACTCGCCTGAAAACATTCAAAACCGGTATGACTGGGTAGTCAAATGGAGCCAAACCGACATGGATTACATGTCCAACTGTGTTTTCATTGATGAGTCAGCTTTCCATATTAACTTGAAGCGAACAATGGCTTGGTCAGAGAAAGGAACTCGAGCTGAAGTGCCTGTACCTCAAACAAGAGCGAAAACTACCACTATTATTGGCGCAACTAGCGTATGGGGAGTGTTGAATGTTCAAGTGAGGTTGCCTGGAACATCCAACAAGAAAAGAAAGTTAGCTGGCACTTCTTCTGGAAAAGCAACAACAACTGTGGGTACTGTAACTGGCCACTACTTTAACTTTATTGCGAAAACGATTGATACCATGGACCAGCATGAGCAATTCAAAGATTTTTATCTTGTTATGGACAATGCACCCATCCATACAGCCAAGGATATTGAGAGGTATATCATTCAGCGAGGTTACAGATGTGTTTACCTCCCACCATACTCCCCTGAGCTTAATCCTATTGAGCAATTCTGGCATCATGTGGTCAAGAGTAAACTCAAGAGGGAGAGGCTCTTAAAAACTGAAACACTTTCGACCAGGATTACCGATGCATGCAATGATGTATTGTACAGTGATCTTGAAGGTTCTGCTCGCTACTCTGTTAAGAAATTCGATGTTTGTTTGGCGAAAGAGCCATTGTAATAAATGAATTTTAGTTTCTCTGAAAATGTCTCAATGTTTTTTATAAGTGTCCCAATATTAATTAGGCAAGTGTTCCAAAATAGTTCAAGATTTGTCCCAAATTTAATTATAAATAGACCTAATATTTATTCAGATTTAGTACCAATTTTTTTTAAAAATATCCCAATAATTTCTGAAAATAGTGTATATGGTTGCAGAAAAAAAGTCGATGTTACGAATTGTAACAGTACTACATACACTGCAATTTATATTGCGGATAAAAAATTTGCTCATTAACAGGGTCGAACTGTTGACCTTGGCGTTATTAGCACCACGCTCTAACCAACTGAGCTAAACGAGCTTACTGATATAATTGGCAACCTTAATTTTGCTTACATATACAAAAAATAATATATATAGAAAATTAAATGTTATATATTATTATTTTATATTCTATTTATCGTTTTGTTTTAAAATAAATAATATATATTATTGCTAACACCACCGATATACCTGCTGACATTACTCTCAGCACTACTAGCTAGAGTGGCCTTAAAAGAAATTTTTTAGCCAACTATTCCATGATGAAATTGAACCTGATCATGCAGCTGGCAGCTCAGTTCACAGCACTTTGATTTCCATCGCATTGTGTTCATACATGGCTACAAGCATTTGGCACAATCAGCTTGCAGAACATTACTCATTTTAATCAACTCGACACAAGAATATCACCAGTAACGTAGGGAGAACACTTGAACCGTCTATCCCTTCGGCTTATAGGTAGCGAAACAAACAGTGCAATTGAAGCAACATTCGAGATGACTATGAGTCAAGTGATTTACTTGGTCGGTGGATCGACATACCTGTGTACAGAAACTATATCTCCTTAGGCCACATCAAGCAGCTCAGGAGTTCCAAGCCAACGATTGGAACTGGTCTTACAGGTAATAATAAACGGGTGTTTGAGTCCATCGTCAATTTGGCAAAGAAGGAAGGTATCTCGAAAGCAAGAATTCAAGTGTCACCACAGCGAATCAAGGAGTTATCGAAGGGGTTAGCCGACAATCAACTCTTACAGTTGTTGGGCACCCTCGACTATACGCTCTCAACCTTTGCTATTGCCGTTTTGCTCTTCTCAAAGTCAAGAATGAGTGAACTGTCATACTATCGCCGATGTGCTCTTGTGCTGGATATCATTTTTCGTGATTGCCCAGAATTTCAGTTGAACGAGGGAGTGTGTCCCAAAATCGTGTAAAACATCAACACAATCCGATGCAAATGTACTCATGGCGAGGGTAAAATTATAGTTTAAGACTAGACTAGCTCTAAGGTCAAACCATAATTTTTCTCTCTCTAGAGTCTGTCAATTTGATAGTAGAGAAACAACATGCAATGCAATTAAATTGCTCGTATCCATAACAAGAAGCTATATGACGACCATGAAGAGAAAAAGACTGTTATAGGCAGAAAGTTTGACTTACTCATAAGCATACTATCAATGGACATATTGTATTTGTGATGTGCTTTTCTTTGACTCAATCTGTGTGAGTGTCCCTTTTTTTGCTTACATACTTCTATACTCCTATAGTAGTACTGTATGTTCTTTTCTTTCTTTTATTATGTTTCTTTGAAGCATACTTCTTACGTTGCGTGAATGTGTCTATCCGTGAATCTCAACAATAAAGTTGAGAATGCCAGGACAAATAGTGCCATCTTGAAGGAGATCCACCTGTTATCCATACCTAAAGATGACATGAAGGAGATTTTCGTATTGAAATGGACTGGATAAGCAAATTCAAAAGTAATACTAGAGAGTGCCATTTGATTAAATTTTGCGATCCAGGGTTCCATGAATACAAGCTAGCAGCGGCCAAGAACGAGATACTTCTCATTGGAGGCATGCAACTGCCCGTATCTCTCGCTGTCCTGGATGACTTCAGGGTTACGCTGTATCTCCTCTATGCATTCAAGTGCCATCGACTCAGATTGAAGGAGATAATTGAGCCAATACACCATCGAGTTCAAAACGCAACATTCCTTAATCATTACCACTTTAAAGACACACCTGAGCCAAATGAAGATGCCTCCGGCACCTTTTTTACTCGCGTCCAAAAAAGAGACAAGCACAAGATAAAGAAAAGGCTCCCACAACTCAAGATGATGAATACATCTGTGATCGCAACAGTGATGCTGACCTCGTCAATTATTGAAGCGTTTTTTATGAAATAAATTGTTGTATGCCGCCGTAGTTTATTATTTTGGTTATCATTATTTTATAAGCAGTTGTAGCCATTCTGTACAAGCAAAATCATTATATGTCAATTACTTGAATTCAGCCTTGGCATCAGATACGACTTCTGAGGGCACGCCTGCCTTGATTAGAGCTGTTTCAGCAAAATCATCACCAAATTGTGTGCACTGTGCTTGCAAGATCTGGTAAACGATATCTAGATGATAAAAAAAAAACGTTAATATGATGTTGAGAATACAACCCTGTCAAGTACACTTACACACTGGGAATGATGAGATGGATGGGAACAATTTCTTGGCCAAGGCATTTAATTTCGACTGTACTTGTTCTTGAGCTGCACTCGATGATTGAATGATATTCTCCCAAGCAAGTCGTGCAAAATCCCAATTATACTCTTCCAATATATCCAGCAAGCTCAATCCTTCTTCGTACAATGATTGGGTATAAGCACATCGCAACAAGTCGTATTCAGGAACAAGTCGAGCGCTTAGATTATCAAGTACCTTCTTGTCAGGGTGCTTTTGCTCATGCAGTAACTCGAAAATCTCATATTGCACTTGTGCCACTTTGTATTTGCGTTGAATAGCTTGACATTTCTCTTGGCTGAACCCAGCGGCTTGAGGTAAATATTCACAAGCTTTCTTCAATGCTTGTACGCGTTGTAATAATCCAACTTGGTCTGCTTCAGTCGCTAATTGATAGACAGCATCGGCAGATTTGGCAATTTCATTTCGATGGGCATAGTACAGCTCGAGAAGAATCAGTCGCTGACGAGGATCGAGCGTGCGTGTGTTAATAAAGTCAAAGAGTGTAGGTGCTTGCAAACAGGTTAAGATGTGGTTGTGTTCATTGTTGGTAAGCCATTCGTAAATATGATAATGATAGTCTTGGTTGCTCGTCATTTCCAGTGCACTGGCAATCACATCAATCGCATGTTGCTGGTGTTGTGTGTCAATGGCTTCCTTGATAATGTGCAGCACAAATGCTTCAAGTTGATCGAGTGTCAACCCTGCTTGTGAATAGCTTGTAAATGCAAGATCGACAGCAGAATGGTGATCTCCCAAGTCGCAGAACTTTTGTGCGAGCGCTTTAATACGAGGAGCATCGCAAATGCCGACCACGCTCTTGAAATGTCCAATAGCTAATGCCAATGCCTGCTTCTTGTCGTTGGCATCTGTATTATTTTGTGCAGCATATAAATTTTCGACACCCTTAAAGTAAATCACTTGTTCTGTGCCCAAGAGGTTGGAGCAATTGCTGTTTAAAAAGTTACCGATAAAGCTGTAGTTGTTGGAAGCATTTGCAAGTTTCGATGTCTTTATAGCCTTGTAAACAATATCCTGGATCAAGTTGGCGCCCTTCACCGTTGTAACGACATCACTAAACTTGCTGACAACCCAGTTTTTGTCAAACCTAGATCTATATATCAGCAGTCAGCTATTTGCAATACACCCTCTTCCATACCTTGCTACAATTTGTTCCCATTCTAAATCATTAGCAAAGCATATCAACGAAATGAATTCCATAGTCTTCAACACAAGATCCATGTCATCCTACAAGTGCTCGTCAATCGTTGTGTTCAATGTGCTTTTCACTGCATAACTTACTGCTGCTGGAATGTCGTATTGTTGATATACATCGGCAAGTGCTCGGAGGCGTTCCTGAACCACCAGAAACTTTTCTTTAGGGACTCTGTCAAGTCTGTTAGATTCGAAGAACTTCATCTCATGCTAGTCTGTACCTACTTTTCATTTTTGATATCGACCGTCCAGATATCCTGAACGATGCGAGCAAAATAGAGCAGCAGGCCTTCTTGTCGTACTGTGCATTGTCGAATAAAGTCAATGACATATGGAGTTTGCTTTGCTGAACAGGCCAACACATGAGCTATATAACCAGTCTCAATGGCACCATAACGCTCTTCAAACTTGTTCAAATGTTCAGGTGAAGGCGATTGCAATGCGTGTTGAAAATAATCTGTAATGTGTTGCTTATTGTAGTGGATGATGCCTCGTTTCGTCAATGCTGAAATCTGGCGATCTGAAGTATCCATAGGCTCTAATGTCGATTTCATGTTGAATCTTGTGTGTCTGGCTTTTCCTCCTTCCATGATAGACCACACTTTGTCGTCCAGCTTTTCATAATAGAAATCCTCCACCAACACAGGCTTTGATTCCTTGACCGATGCGACGCTTGTGTTGGTCAACACAAAGTACTTCTTTTCTGATTTGGCCAAGACAGTAGCAAAAACGCCTTGCTGATAATAAGCCAAGTCAGCATGTTGATCGGTCAAGTTGTTGAATAAAATGGATCCGGGCAAGGGTGGTGCTGGTCGGGTAAATATGAGCTGGATATCTAGACTTTCATTCTGTAAAAACAGTCTGTCGCCGTTGTTTGCAACTGCCATGAGACAAGGCTTTTTGGTATCTTGAACAAGGTGAATTGATTCCAAGTGTTGGCTCTCGTAGCGCTTCAATAACGAGTAGGTGGTGCCACGAATCTGAGCAACATGGATGCTGGAATCTGACAGCAGCATGTACAGCAATTCCCCTGCTTCATCCAATACCAGAGATTTCACACTGGCCACAGGTGGAGATTTGAAGAACATGGTCAAATAGCGCAGTATTGGGTTCATGGTAAGACAGCTAAGACTTCCATTTTTTGGTGTGTTGTCTGTCCATACAAGATGCAATTCGTACAAATGTCCATCATCGCCCTTCATAAAGACTCGTCTTAATTCCTTTGCTGTAACGAAATTTGACATGACAACACCCTCTGAATCCACTGCCACACCCTGCGATAGCTGTATGTTGTCTTGGCCTGGTGAAATGGTGTGGAGGTAGATGTGGTTTCGAGTAGTGACAACCAGCTCGTGGTGTGTTGTGAATGTTGCAATATCGACATGTTCAATGGCTTGGGTGGTGTCGTATCTGAATACTTTAGAATTCTTCTTACTAAAGTCCCATAGAAACAACGATGATCCTCTTGCCAACCAGACATGATTGATAGCTTTTAGAAACCCAAGATTGTAGTCACTGCGAGGCTCTAATGATCAATGTGTTAATATAAACTCGGTTGGTATGTAGTAAGTTTGTGCTCTTACGTTCAATTTGCCTGGCAATTTCCTCTGGAAAGTCTACGTGTGCGCTTTTGTAGAATGCATTTTCGTTGTCTGTACAGTATTGCAAAGGAGTGGACTCTATAGATTTGTGAGTCAATTTCATGCTTAAGCAAATCAAAAGGTGCAGAAGCTTACCTTGCAAATACAGGTCGAAATCCACATGTGTACCATCATTCTGCTTGCAATCATCGACTTTTTGGCTGAATTCAGTGAGTAGTGGGTTTAGTTGAGATGCAAAAGTCTTCTCCATGCTAAAAGTCGTAGTGTTGGTTTGTAGAGTAACCTTGGCCTTTTTGCTCTTGATCAAAGAGGCGCGTTTTATCTCTCAAATTTTTTGAAAAAGGTGACTTTGATATATGCAGAATTGCAACATGAACGGAAGAGGATCTCCTTGCCTGACAACATGGCTCCAATTCTGCGAAGGAGTCATATTCTGCTATGATGTCACCTAAATCTAATGCTATATTGTCAATGTTAGCTCAAAACAAAGCATTGCAGGTGCTATATTGCCGTCTCTGAAGCGTGTATTACCTACAGATGCATTTGTATGATTATCTGGACCTGAATCATCAGTTTTGAGAAGCATCATATATTAGTATATAGGCTAGAGTACATTGGGGAAGAGCCTTTGCGTTAAGCACAATTTGTCTCCACATTAGCGTCCTGTTTAACAATGAGCTCAACCAATTCAAATCTAGTTAACTCGGCTGCTCTAATGGATTAATCGCATACAGTGTACAACACGCAATCAATGCTTAAGAACAAGTGCCTATACTTGAGTGTCAACATCAGATCATGGTGCAGTTTTCTCTGCTGAGGCGCTCGACTAGTATTTGAAGACTCCATTCAAGGTATGGGGCTATCCATTATGTCAAAAAAAAAGAAACTATATTGCTTTGCGCTATAATGAATATATTTAGAGCAGGCCTGATACGGACCATCTTGAAAATTATGGACCACTTATTGACTCCATACTTATGGCACCTGAGCACAATATTAAGTATATTGAATAATACAGAATGCTATACATTTACACTTGTCTCTTTCCATGACGACGCACATGTCATTGTTTTTCATTGTTTATATGTATACGAGTGTTTATGCTTCGGGTGGCTCTCTACTTTCGCTTCGCTTCGGTAAGAACCAACCTGCGCAGCGGCAGCTCGCGCTATCGATTGCCCTTGCGTATCTTGTCAAAATACTGATACTTTCATTTTGACCCTCTACTTACACATGAAAACCCTTCATATTACCTGTGGATCTGATTCTTGTGTGATGCTCCACATCCATATACACGTAACTACTTCGTATACGGGCAAGTGCCATACGTATATTATCCTTTTTAATCAGGAGTGCGCCTAATACAGCAAAATCCGAGTGCATTTGAGCCGCATTTTCTTGCGTTCAATTGCCGTTTTAGATGGTCAGAATAGCCCTAAACGATTGTTCTTATCTAGCATTTACTTGCTAATACCTTTGCTCAACTTTTTGGGGATCAAAAAAACATGAACAAAATTCGACCAAAAAGCATGAGGTACCCCTCATGGTTTTCATCGAAAATCGCACGATCGCGTTTTTCACCTTGAAAATGAAGACTTTTACTATGGTATACGAGCCTTTCAGCACTTCGGGTGGTTTCCTGACCTACGCTTCGCTTCGGTGGAAACCAACCTACGTTCAAACGGCTCGCGCTGCCGCGGGCCTTTGGCTAATATCCCAAAATTAATAGAGCTAAAATGTTAGAAGAGGAACCCTGATTGTTGATTGATATATAATCACTAATCATATGAGTGTTTATGCTTCGGATGGTTCTCACCGAAGCGTAGCGAAGGTAGAGAACCAACCTGCGCAGCGGCAGCTCGTGCTACTGATTGCTCTTGCGTATTTTATCAAAATACTGCTACTTTCATTTTGACCTTCCACTTACACATAGTAACCTTTCATATTATCTGTGGATCTGATTCTTATGTGATGTTCTACATCCATATACACGTAGCTACTTCATATACGGGCAAGCAGCATACTGGTATTCCCAATTTTTAATCCTTAGTGTCCCTAATACAGCAAAATATGAGTGCATTTGAGCTGAATTTTCTTGCGTTCAAGGCCGTTTTAGATCGTCAGAATAGTCCCAAATGGTTGCTTTCATCTGGCAGTTACTTTCTGACACTTTTGCTCGACTTTTTGGGGATCAAAAAAACATGGTCAAAAATCGACCAAAAAGCATGAGGTATCCCTCATGGTTTTCATCGAAAATCAAACGATCGCATTTTTCATCTTGATAATGGAGACTTTTACTATGGTATATCTTGAATCAAAATGTTTCTATCAATCCAAAGCAACCTCTGAAATCATCTTTGTGGGACTTTGATATGTAAAATTTCGACATTTTGGCCATAAACCTCTTTTCATATTTTTACAAATCATTTGGTAAGTGTATTCAAAACATCTATTTTACTTAGTACCATTGGAAGCGCCTTGAAAAGTACTCCAGGAAAGCTTAAGGAAGCATGGGGTGATTATCATACTTCACTTAGTCGAATCTGCAAAAATAGCTCGATCGAGTCCAGAATCATCAAAATTTGTCCAATCTGGAACAGACTATGATTCTGGGTTTAAATTAATTTTGGCTGGTAGGGCCAGCTGGAAAACTCATGACCTTTTTATAAGGCAATACAGTAGTAAATGCCCTTGAAGCGTATAGAAAGTAGGTGGAAGGTCATAGCACTATCGTTTATAATGATATTTTATTGCATTCTATATTTAATAACGTTAGTCTGGACATTGACAATGCATGGGTTGCATAAAATGTCTGCAGTAAGTAATGAAATATCTGAGGCTCTGAGACGTCGCTCAAATAAAACATTGACAGCATTGAGCAGAGGAAAGAGGGTAGAAATTACAGTGGTTTTTGTTGATTGATTGTAAAATCATTATTCTCATATGAGCCAGGCCAGATAGATGCCTTGAAACTCAGATTCCATATTAGGGTTATAAAGTGCAAAAGTACTGAACATTTATTATGTTATGATATGAGCCAGGCCAGATAGATGCCTTGAAACTCAGATTCCATATTAGGGTTATAAAGTGCAAAAGTACTGAACATTTATTATGTTATGATATGAGCCAGGCCAGATAGATGCCTTGAAACTCAGATTCCATATTAGGGTTATAAAGTGCAAAAGTACTGAACATTTATTATGTTATGATATGAGCCAGGCCAGATAGATGCCTTGAAACTCAGATTCCATATTAGGGTTATAAAGTGCAAAAGTACTGAACATTTATTATGTTATCACCTTTCTTCCGCTTTTCAAATTTTTACATAGTTTGAATCACCACTGTAAGAAAAATCCCTGAAAAAGCGATAGTAACAACAAACATTGCAACTTTGATCAGCATGTCAAACATTGTGATCGATCAAACCACCATCCAGGCTCTCGTCGAGTCGGTGAAAGCCTTACACTCCCGTCTCGACATTTTCGAACGTGCTCAACAAGCCCAGCAAGCCCTGAACGCTCAGTTCCGAGAAGAAGTAAATGATCTTCACTCCATCATCAACAATCTCGAGAAGCTTATCCGCTCTCCTGCACCCGTAACTGCTCAACCCCCCATCGCCGCTATCCCAATTACACCTGTGGTCCCTGCCGCTCAGGCTCAGGCTCAGGCTCAACAACCCCGCAACAACCCACCCCAGTGGAGCCAAGTCCTCAAACGTCCCTCCGCTGCCTCTAACAAGCGCCGCCGCGAACATGCTCTCCGTACACTTCAACCTCCTCAACCTGCCACTGAAAATTCCAACTACACTGTTCTGCACCTCCATCGTGCTCATCGTATGACTCACACCGAATATCGTGCTACCCTCGCTGCCATCGGCATCGATAGCAAACGTATTCTAGATGTCACTTTTCCTGCTCGCAACATCTCCACCATCCTGATCCACACTGCATACAAGGCGGATATACTTCAACTCTTAGCCGCCGGTGAACTGACTGAAGTCCCAGACTTTAACCCGCTTGACCATACACATGTAGCCGATCCCCAATTTGCTGACATGCCTGCTCCCCAACTAACCCGTATTGCTGCCGCCCTTCACACTGACCGATGCATCCGTACTGTGCGCTACATCAAGAAACATACTGTCCCCGGCGTCCTCAAATTTTTCATGGCCCAAAACTGGATACCTCTCGTCACTGCTCAAGATCTCTCTGCTGAACTGCTTCCTCGTCCTGCCAAACGTGCTATGGACCCTCATTCTGCCGTTGGTCAATTGCTCCTTGATCCCGTCTACGCCACCAAGTTACGCTCACGCCAGTTGGTTGATCGTCTAGGCAACGTCGTTGAAACCAATGCAATGGAGATTACTGAGGAATTTTACGATGATCCCAACCACTCAGACACCGATGACTCTCTTGAATGAGTGAATCCTCATCACAGCCTTTAAATCAACGTTCTGCATCCCCTGATAATGTTTATGTCCCCCCGGTATCTGCTCCTCATTCTTCTAACAAACACACTAACTTGATTATTCGTAGTCTCAACTGCCGTAGCCTTGCTAAACCATCAAACGTCCCCAACAGCCAAGCCTTTTGTCGATTCCTACGTCAATCTTATGATCAACAACCACACATCCTCTGCCTTCAAGAAACCCACGCTTCCGATCCCAATACCCAAGCTCGCCTCGACTTACAACTCCAAGCAACATCTTCTATATGGTCATCCCATTGCGGGATAGTAAGTCTTCACCCTAATATTCATATCAATCCCATCTTCGTCTCGGATGATGGTCGAATCATATATTGTACCATTTCCCACACTACTAACCTATTTCCTCCCCTGAAGATCATGAATATCTATGCACCCGTCACTACTCCAGATAGATATATCTTTTATGATCAGTTACTTCAACGCTCCTTCTTCCAAACTCTCGTCACCAACATGAACACGGCGGAAGGTCTACACAACAATCACCTGTCTAATGTCACCGATGCCCCATCTATAGTCGTTGGTGATTTTAATTACAATTTCCGCCAATACCGTCCACCATCTATTGTCAAACCAGCTAGCATTCAATCACAATGGCTATTTCATTCGATGCTCACCCACTACTATCAGGAAAGTACTCATGAATTAATCCACGAACCTCAAGTACCTACCTTTCGTCGCAACACTACGTTCACTACCATCGATTATATGTTCTTGAATCCTCAACTGATGGACTTCCGTACTGACCAGTTTGTCCACTTTGTCCACTCGGACTGGACTGACCATGCGATGCTGTCTACCCAACTAACTTTTGATAATCCAGATCTCGGTAAAGGTCTGTGGCGAGCCAATCCACAATTAGTCCACAACGAATACTTCTGCCAACGCCTGTTCACAAAGCTTGACGATTTCCACACCCTTCTCGCTTCCAATGCTAATGATCTCACTCCACAAGTCATTTGGGATCAAATCAAGGAATTAACTCGACAGGTAGCCAAATCTTGTAGTCGTCGTCAATCGGAATGGCGTCGCCGTCTACTTCGTCGTCTCCAAAGCAAGCGGAACAAGCTGATACGACTCTACAAAACGACTCAAGTACGCAATGATCGCCTTCCCAAGATCGAATCAATGATAGGTAACCTACAACAAGAATTGGCTGATATTCAAGCTTTACGCTCCGGCATCAAATGGCGTGAACACGGGGAGAAATCCGCTGGTTTCCTCAAGCGTCTTACATCCCAGCGATCCCAACAACGAGCCATCCCCACTCTTCAACACCCCATCTCCTCCTCCGATTGTGCGACTACAAAGGACAAACAGGCAGCTGCGGTAGCTTACTACGAACGGCTCTACACTGCGGATATAGTGGACACCGAAGCGATTCGCTACTTTACTAATCAGATTCCTCATACTGACAAAATTCTAGATTCAGACCACCCGTCATTATGTGCTCCATTTACCCTCGATGAATTAGTCGAAGCCGGTACTCGGGCCCCTAAACAATCTAGTCCTGGCATTGACTCCCTACCATATGCCATAATACAATTGCTTTTCACCCACCCACTCACCGCTGCCATTGCTCTCCGTGTTTATTCTGACGCCTTGTCAAACGGCGTATTCCCGCAATCGTGGCAAGAAACTTGTCTGGTCTTGCTCCCTAAGAAAGGTGATCTTGCCTTGTTGCAGAACTGGCGTCCCATTAGTCTTATCTGTTGTGATGCCAAAATCTTCACTCGGCTGTTGAATGCTCGGCTCATGCTCCACTTTGGCACACGATTGACCACCTCACAATCCGGCTTCATGCCCCATCGCTTTATTGGCGAACCAGCCATGACCCTACATTGCGCTCTGTCCCTCGCCACTGCCACCCATTCTACGTCAATCGCCTTGTTGTTAGATCAAGAAAAAGCATATGACCGTGTCAACTTGGAGTACCTCACCGCTGTACTCACAGCTTTTAACATGCCATCTTCTCTAATCTCATCACTGCTTTCTTTGTTTACTAACACGCAGGTACGGGTCAACATCAACGGATTTCTCTCTGAAGCATTTCCAACCCAACGTGGTATGAGACAGGGTGACCCTATCAGTCCTTTGCTTTTCAATATCATCTTCGACCCCTTCCTCCGTGCCATCAACCAACATCAAAACATACTTGGGTTTGACTTTACACGCATTGCAGCCACTAATCCTCGTTTTTCCTCCCCTCTCGCTGACAATGTTCCTCTCGCAGATCCAGTCAAAGTCCTGGCATATGCCGATGACACACTAGTTTTCCTCAACGATCTTAGTGAATTCCACCAACTTCAACAGTTGATAAATAAGTATGCCGCCGCGTCCAATGCCTCTCTCAACTATCACAAGACGCAAGCATTGTCTCTCTCTGGTGTACCGCACGAATCCTGGATTCTCGGCCTTCGCGCGTCTGGTATCTCGTCTTGGCATGACCAGAATGCTACCGCTCCCATCATCTATCTCGGATACCCTATTTGTTCATCTACCGCTCAAAAGAACTCATATTTCGATGCTCTTCTCACTCGTCTCCGGGACTTTTGTCGCCTTCATTCGGTACGCAACCTTACCTTTCGAGGACGGGTTACTGTTCTCAATTCACTCTTGTTCTCTAAAGTGTGGCATATTGCACGCTTGTTTCCTTTTTCGGCTAACGATATTCACAAGCTACAACAGCTGGGCGCCTCGTTCGTTAACCAAAATGCCAAACTAACTCGATTCTCTTTCGCTACTCTCTGCCTCCCTCGTTCTCATGGCGGCCTTGGTCTTTTGGATCCTGCTGTGCAGATCAACGCCCTTCAGTGGCGCTGGCTTCATCCACTTTTGCACCCATCCGATCCCACTCCTCCTACCAAGACTTCTCTTCCTTATCTCCGTGTCATCCTCAACTTCTTCCTCGCTACTCCCTCATACCCCACCTACCACTGGTCTCTCCTCTTTCCTGCCTGTAGGCCATCAAGCGCCAGAAAGGTCATCGCTCCTCTCTACAACATTCTTCGCGCCGTAGATACCATTGTTCGTAAGTTTGGTGTCTGTCATGTTTCCTTCAGTACTTGTCTACGCCTGCCATTTTCGACCTTGGTTGAACATAACCTTCCACCCAACCATAGCTTATCGCCTACATTTCGCTCACCAAAGGAAGTGGTAAAACACTACCCCAGAGTGCTTCAACTTACAGGTAATGATGTTTTCATCTTTGATACCACCACTCAAGCTCTTCAACTTCGCACTTCGGTCATTGGCCTACCCCACCAACCCACCAGCTTACGCGCTATCAATTTTCTTCAGGCTCAAAACCTACTGCTCACCAACTTCATTCACTTCAACATGTTGCTCCTTGTCCCTCGTCCAAACATCACACATATCGACCTCTCCACCATCACCAACTATTCCGATAGTATCAGCCTCGTATCCACCCTTCTACTCTCTTTATTGGCAACTTCATTTTCTTTTGAGTCTCATTCATTCCTTTTATCCCTCCCTACTAATCAAGGATTCAAATCCCTCCCCCTTCACACTAACCCTTCCTCTTATTCGTCCCCTTTAGGTGTTGCCAAATGGAAGCAGTTTTGGACTCTCCAGATTCCTTTGAATGCTCGCAATACTTGGTTCCGGATCCTTCATGAAAAAGTTACTACTCGTCAATTATTACATCAACGGCTTCGCGATTCATTTACCCCGTACTGTCCTCACTGTCAGTCTTCGTCATCCACAATCCCCACCATCATCGAAGATACTGAGCACTTCCTCTTTTCCTGTCCTCGAAAATTGGACGTCTGGCGACAAACTCTCTCTCTTTACATCTCACCTCGATTCTCTTACTTTGCGTACGAGGAATACATTGCCATCCTCCACCTTCGCCTCGATATTGACCGCTCATCTCATGAACTTTTTCCTGCATTATCCGTGTTCCAGGTCTTTGCTTGCATCCAACAGGCTATCTGGTCTGCTCATTACCGCCAAGTTTTCCAGCACGTCCCTTTCATCCCGTCTACTGTCATCCACTCCATTCATCGTACTCTCCTCAATTTAGACTCCCAACTTTCCTTCGATACAATTATCTGAGCTTCCCCTTATATCCTCCAGTCTTTATATCCCCTCCCTCTATATTAGGTGACGATTTAAGGACTTTAAATAAAAACAGAAGTGCCTACTTCCTTATAAAAAAAAACATTTATTATGTTATGATATTGAATCAAAATGCTTCTCTCGACCCAAAGCAACTTCTGAATCCACTTTTATGAGGTCTTACTATGCAAAATTTTGACATTTTGGCCAAAACCTCATTTCGTATTTTATAGAATTGTTCAATAAGTTTATTCAAAACGCCTATTACAATTAGCACGATTGGAAGAGCCTTGAAAAGTACTTCAAGAATGTATTAGGAGGTACGGGCTAATTATCACAACTTACATAGTCGAATCTCACGAAATAGTTCAATCAAGTCGAAAAGTCCCAAAGTTTGGTCAATCTGAACAGAAAAGAAAATTCTGAGTTTGAATTAATTTTGCGCTGCTGACTGACCTAAAAGCCTTTTTGATGATGACAATGATGATTGAGATGTTGATTGTATGAGAATCATAAACTTACAGAATTATCGCTTAGCTTGAATACTTTCTTTTGATTTTGTTGGGAATTTTCATACCTGACAGCGTTAATCAGCCTGGGTCACAACCAAAAAAAAAAGGTAATCGCAGCTTCCTAATTATGATTTGAAGCATTTCAATATGGTATGTAGGCAGTATGCGTTGCATTGATACACTTTCGGGCTTGTCGTTTTTCTTCTTTGCTCAGAATTTATGAGCATGCTTGTACTGTATGAATCAATAAACCTGACGTTGCACTCAAGCGCCGTAAGTATGGAGTCAGTAGGTAAACCACATCAAGCCTGTTTGTTATGAGTCAAAACATAGTTTATTAAATGTTATATCGTTTAGTTTTGTTATCGCATAAGTTTGTATATAGATAGATAGATGAAGTGTAAGCCAACTACCAGATGGAGCACTTGTTGGCAGGATTCATGCCTTGTTCCTTATTGACACACTTGAAAGCTTCAGCGAAATCAGGGCTGTTCTGAACAGCAGCATTGACTCTGACTTTAGCAGGCGAGTGGACATCACCACGGATTCTTTGGACAGCCATTTCAGGACGCATATTAGAACACCAGACACGACCAAAGTTGATAAAGAACAACTGTTCGGGAGACAAGTGATCCAGTTGAGGAAGGATCATGTTTTGATCGGGATTCTGTTGCAAAGATTTGCGCATGGCAGTAAGAGCAGCATGGACACCACCATTGTCAGCCAAGTTTTCGCCGAGAGTCATCTGCAGGTAATAATTAGACTAGGGTACAAGCATGACAACATTTCATAATACCTTTCCATTGACATGTAAGACGTATTGTTGGGCCCTTGGACGGAGAAGGAGTTGTACTGGTTGATAAAGCATTGACTTCTTGCCTCGAAAGCCTCGGACGTAGTATCTGACCACCAAGTGTTTAATTTGCCCATCACCATCGTAAGACGGCCAGAGTTATCAAAGGCATGCTATGTCGTTTGGGTTAATGTCATCTTATAATAAGTCCATTCTATGCCACTCACTGTAAATTCATGGCCAATAACAGCACCAATACCACCGTAATTGAGATAGCTAGGCAATTCAGAGTGATAGAAAGGGCGACTGCAATATACCAGCAGGAATGACAATCTCATTAAAGACGGGAGAATAGTAAGCATTGACTTCATGAGGATCCATGTGCCAGACGGACTGTCCACCTTTTGACCGATTTGATTCCAATTCTTATTGATGTCCCACAAGAGAGCAGACTTTTGGTTGCCATAAAAGTTGATCACATCAATGTTGATGTGCAGCATAGTAGTTGGCCAACGAGTCAGCAGAACGCACGTCTGGAGTCACCACACTATAAGCTTCCTTGTGATTGATCTTGTTGACCTTTTCGACCGCCTTGGCCCGTGTAACAGCATCCAACCAGTCCACTTGATTCAAACGCTCAGACCACGTAGATTGAATGTTGTTGATAAAGGAAGCCACTTGCTCACGTTGGACCTCACCACCAAAGTGTTTCATGACAAAGTAGCGGCCCAGGAGTTGACCAAACGTATTGCTAGTGGCACGGACACAAACACGCGAACGTT